TTACTTAATTCTCATACAGAGAAATTCTTAAACATTTGTGCACATTAAAATAAGATATACTGCATTGCTTTAGTATTTTTTGAAAATGCATAAGCATAGTTAATATTTAATAGTTAATACTGTTGAAACATTAGATTCGATGTTATTAAAAGATATGTAATATAACTGCATTTATGCAATAAAACATAGTTCATTACTGCATCTGTATTTAATTAATTATGAATTTTATCTTTAAAGGTCAGCACAACCATAAGAAGTTCTAGGAAACACTGGCAGAGGACTAAAAATGGACACCGATAAAAGAAATAGTAATTTAAATAATCAGAAACATTTAAAACAAATTTAAGATTGAATAGTTTGTCACTAACAGACTAAGAGCAAAATAATTGCTTAAAACAAAGTGTTGGATTCTAAGAAAACAAGAACCTACCAAAACCTGCAGCTAGAAAAAAACTGTTTGTGTTATAGTGAATGTAGGATGTTCTATTCTGTATTTGGACTAAAGGATATGTATTAAATTTTGTGAAAGAAATATGTGATCATGTTAAACTCATAAAAATTCTACCCCAAACATTCCTGTGCTGAATTCCATCCCAGAATTTTACATTTTAAGAACATTCAGGGATGCTGGAATTAGGCTGGATTTTTTCAATGTCATTCCATCAAGGCTGGACTATTTACCATGGTAATTGGAAGAAAACATTAGTATATGAAAAATTTAACATCAGTTTCTTTTTACAATTTATGATTAAATAAGTTTATCATGGTAAATAATGCCTTTTTCTTTTTGCATGTTATAAAGGATTCAGAGACTGTTATACGTAGCAGCTCCCTTTCCAAATAGGGTTTACAGTTTTTGCAAGCCTGCGATTAAGCTTGCGCAAGCTTATACATTAAGCTTGCGCAAGCTTATACATTAAGCTTGTAGTTATACATGCACAAGCTTGCGACTTAGCCTGTGCAGGCTTGCAGATAAACCTGCGCAAGCTTGCAAATAAGCTTGCGCAAGCTTACGATTAAGCTTGCGCAAGCTTGCGATTAAGCTTGCGCAAGCTTGCGATTAAGCTTGCGCAAGCTTAAATATTAACTAGTTTGCAGTCAGATTTTTTTTAAATAACTGATCGCAAGCTTGCTGCAAGGTTCCAATTACTAGCCAGTAGCAAGCTTGCAACTTAAGCTTGCAGCAAGCTTGTGACAAGCTTGCAATGTTAGCTTGCGATTTTGGTTTGGGAAGCTGGGTCCACGTAGTGATAAATCTATCCCGTGTGAAATTATAGACGAAAATGGTAACGTTGTGCGAAATGAAAACGAAGTTCTTGAAAAATGGAAGCGTGACTTTGAGAGTTTATACAACGGAACAGATAATAGCGAATTCGATAGTGAGCATTATAGACGGGCAAAGGTGCATAAATTACTATTAGAAAACAATATCAATGACCCTTTGTATACATCAAACGTAGCGCTTAACGGCAATATCACGTTAACGGAGATAAGTGACCTGGTAATGAAAGCTAAATCACGTTCTGCCTGCGGCTATGACGACATTCCATACTTTGTGCTTAAATGCCCCGTTATTATAGCAACATTGAGAGAACTGTTTCAATTAATGTTTGACACTGGCATTTTACCCTCAGTTTGGAGAAAGCTGATCATTTGCCCTATTCTGAAGGACCCTTTGTCAGATCCAATTATCCCCTTACACTACAGAGGAGTAAGTCTACTTTCATGCGTGAGCAAGCTCTACACTGGATTTATTAATAAGCGTTTGACTAGGTATTTGGACGAGAACGAAATCCTTGAAGACGAGCAAAACGGGTTTAGGCGTAATCGATCATGCGAAGACCACGTGTTCTCACTTAACGGCATCATACGTAACAATACAACGGTATTTACAGCGTTTATTGATCTACGTAAATGCTTTGATTTCATCGATATCGACATGTTGTTATACAAATTGTTGCTAAACGGCATTGACGGTAAAATATATACATCAATAAAGAGCATTTACAAACATTCCACTGCTAGTGTACGCTTAAATAACATGCTAACGGACTGGTTCACGTGTCTTACCGGCGTAAAACAGGGTGATACGGCGTCGCCGACGCTATTCTCAATATTTGCCAATGACCTTGTAAAAGAAGTGAATGACCTTGACCTTGGTTTTGAACTTAATGGTAAAAAGGTTTCAATGCTGTTGTATGCAGATGATATCGTTTGTATAGCTAAGACAGAGGAAGATCTACAACGTATTTTAGACACGTTACGTGATTGGTGTAGACGTTGGCGCGTACTCATTAACACTGAAAAATCTAAGTGTGTTCACTTCCGCCGAGGCCGCGCTGCATGCACAGACTTTTCATTCAGGATTGGTGAAAACGTGTTAGAGCTTGTAGATAGTTACAAATATCTTGGTGTAACTTTCCATTGCAAGGGAGACTTCTCATCAAATGCCGACATTCTCGCAAAAAGCGCTGGAAGGGCCCTTGGCAAAATTATTGCAAAGGTTCGAGACCTAAAGCACTTTGGTTTTAATACATTTGAAAAACTATTTGATTCATGCGTTGTGCCAATTATGGATTATTTTTTAGTGTGTGTGGGGTTACAGAAAATACCAAGTTATGGACAATGTGCAGCATCGTGCGATCAGGTACTATCTTGGTGTCCACAGATTTGCACCTATACTTGCAATTACTGGTGACATTGGATGGGTTCCCACCAACTACAGGCGATGGTTAAACATGTTACGAATGTGGAATAGGCTCGTATCGCTCGATGACAATAGAATAACAAAACAAGTCTTCAATGTGGACTATAGCCATTGTCAAAATAACTGGTGTAGCGAAGTGAAAGATATTATGTCGAAAATTGGAATGAATGATAACTTTATAAACCGCCAACCAATTAATTTAGCAACAGCTAAACATTCTATTATTGAACACCACAAAACTGACTGGGCTACAAAAGTAACCCAAGTTGCAAAACTGCGAACTTACATACAATTTAAAAGTGATTTTTGGTAAAGAATCTTATTTGGATCTTAACTTACCACGAAACGAGCGCTCTCTTCTCGCACAATTGCGGTGCGGTATCCTACCACTCCGTGTAGAAACCGGGCGGTATGTTGGTGAAACACCAGAACAGAGACTTTGCAAATTGTGTAATACTGGTTCCGTTGAAGATGAACTGCATTTTGTAATGAATTGTTCTTTATATCAAGACACTCGACATAATTATCTTAGTGAAATCCTTTTAAGTGACCAATATGTAGATATGAGAGACTGTGATAAATTTGTAAACATTGTAAAACATCACCCAAGAAGATTAGCAAAGTACTTGGTAGCCGCATATTTGAAACGTAGAAGCAATTTGTTCCAAAGATAAAGTAAACATTTATTTAAATAAATGTTTGATCCGCTCATATTTGACACTATTCGTACTATGATGAGATATGAAACTATTTTATCGTTAAAGCATACTTTAATAAATGTTCAATTTATGTGTATCTCGTATCACAGATGTAGTTTACAATTTGCATGTTTTCATTAGCCGTTTTCGTCAACCAGTACTTGATACAGTTGATATTGTTAAAGTATATCTGTTACTCAGAATCTTATTATTACTTTTTCATTGATATAAGCACGTTGTAATATTGTGCAGTATAATTATGTGTAACACCACTTTTATATTACACACTTACATGCTGGTAATGACTACTAGTCTACTAGAATGAAGTTACGTTAATCACATATTTAACATATTTGAATATTGTTTACTTTCCTAGTGTAGAACTTGAATTTTCGTTTCGTTTAAGAACTTCACTTATAAAACAAGTAATACAATACACACTTGCTCGATTCCATGTCCCGGCCTTGCTAGATTTGTTTTTCGTATAAGGCTGGTTATTGCATGAGATCGTATATCGGCGATGTATGTTTCTTGATTGAATCACATTTTGCTAGACAGTAATACCAGAATGACGTTAACGGGTTCTTAAATGATGTACATTTTTATATTATTGTATACTGTACTGATCTCAAGTAATACTAAGTAATTCTAAGTATCTAGATATGTACGTCAAAAGTATGCTTTCACTGTAAACATAATGTTACATTAATAATTGGTATTAAATCCTATAATTATTATACATAAATGAATAAAATTTCTAACTTGTACTGTTGTATACAGTATATTTACTATACTCATGACCATTGATTCGCTTATTGTTCTCATGTTTATTGTTTTGACAAGTATTATGTGACTTATAGGCCCGATGGGCCGGGTGCATGCCTTTATGTAACTGTTTATTGTCATCATTATTTATGTTTGCACATGTCACTTTAATAAAATATTTACTTACTTACTTACTTACTTACATAAAGTGTTACACTTACTTCATAATACTGGCAATATATTTAGCAGTGTCAGTGCATTTACCTGTAACTCACAGGACATTCTCTTACTTATAATTCATATTCACATTTTTATATTAAAATGACCCAAAACCCAACTGTTGTAAATATTAATCTTAATGATTTCTTAGACTGGGTTACTATAGATTTTCAGAAAATTAATCATACTGAATCTGGTTCAAAGGTCACAATTAGATTGAAATGGAAATTTATCACTGCTCAATATGTGTTATAGAGGTGTGACTTTTTACTCTCAATGATGACTATCAATGATAGACTGTGATGATTGAAAAAAAAACAAGGCAATTCCATTACTGGAAGTTTGGGATTTATTTATACTCCTTGTTTTTGACTTCCAAAGTGTAATGCTTTTCCTCTTTGCCAATATAATGTGACATCCTATGTCAGACATTTTCAATCTCTGACTTCCAAATTTTGGAACTTAATGGAAGCCCTGAAAAAAGATGCAACTTTGAACAGCTTCATATCTAGTGTGGGTGTCAGAGCCTTTTGATATAAAGCTCCATAAATAATTAGGATGATTATTTTTCTACATGAGTGATGACCATAGAAATATTTAATATTTTTCAGCTGAAGTATGCAAGAGCTTAAATTGAAGTCCAAAGCCACCAGTCTGTTAATTATTAAAAGTACACTGAAAGATACATTTGTTTGTGGTCTGGATTGTTTGAAAAACATGAACTTTAAGAGTGGGGAACTTTATTTTGGATAATTCAAAGGCATTCAGAATGCAGCTTATAAAATGCTAAATATTCCATTGATAACAGCTGGGTATGCTAAAGTTAGATAAATTTACAAGTGTTGAAAAAATGTTTTATGTTCTAAAGTGTTTTTATGAACAGTTTAATAATAAGAACACATTTTCACATACCCTTAAATTATCAAAAAAATGTTGCAACAATTCTGGAAAAAAATGGGACATATCAGATAAAACACTGCAAACTTTGAACTGGCTAGAAGATCATTCTACTAATCATGGTGACAGAATGCCTGATACAGCTAAAGTGGTGTTGCCATACAAGACAGTGAAAAGTGATGTGTATTTAAAGCACCTGGCAGAAACAAGACAATGTCCATTATATGAATTAATTCAGTCAGTAAGTCACAGTTTCTTTAGACCTTGAAAATATACATGTATGTATCACATGTTAAAATTTAAAAGGTAATTTTAAATGAAATGGATTTTTAATATGCCCCCTGGGCATAGTAATTATATAGTAATTGAACCATCCATCTGTCCAACAAAGTTAACCTAAAAAGGCAAGTTGGTTTTAATGTTTCTTAAGTTCTATTTGTACCAATAGATTCATAATTTACACACATACTAATCAATACAAATTTAATGATCTGGGCAAGTTATATAACAAAATATATAGATTAGAGAGCCAGGGTCCATGTCCAGATGGGAAACGGACAAAAGCCCTCCCGGACAAAAGCCCTCCCGTGAAAATGACAGGGAGGACAAAAGCCCTCCCATGAAAATGACAGGGCGAACAAAAGCCCTCCCGTGAAAATAACAGGGCGGACAAATTCATTATCATGGGAGGGCTTTTGTCTGCCTTGCCACTTTTTAATGGGAGGGCTTTTGTCCGGGAGGGCTTTTGTCCTACACTCTGTCCAGATTTCAGAGCAGTAAAATATTCTTTTATTTATGTTACTTTCATTTCTTAAGGTATCAACTTCAAACTCCAAATATATGTTTCTTATCATCAACCACATCTTATGTGACAAGGTTCATAACTCTGGATGCAATATGTTCAGATTTAATTAATTATCCCCTTGAATTTAGAATTTTCCTTAAAAAACTTCAGACTTCAATGTATGTTCCTTATCATCAACTACATCTTATATGACAAGGTTCATAACTCTGGAATGTTTTCAGAATTACCCCCCCCCCCCCATTGAACTTGGAATTTAAAAAATTAAATTAAAAATATTATTTTTTGCTCTTATATCTTTCTTTCTTAAGGGATCAACTTCAGACTTCAAATGTATGTAAATATCATCAACCACATCTTATGGGACATTAGGTTTTTTACTCTAGCATCTATATTGTAAGAATCATCTCCCCATGAACTTACATTTTTCCCTAAAAAATGTTATTTTTTTACTAAAAGTATAACTTAAGATATCTTCTTCAAACTTCAAATATAATTATGTTCCTTATAATTACCCACATAAAAATATTTATGCCAAATAATTTATGGCAAGGTTCATTACTCTAGCACACATTTTATTCAGACTAATTCATTCTTAAACTTGGAAATTATGCTCAAAATGTTATTTTTAGCTCACCTGTCACAAAGTGACAGGGTGAGCTTTTGTGATCGCTTTTCGTCCGGCCGTCGTCCGTCCGTCCGTCGTCCGTCCGTAAACTTTTGCTTTAAATGACATCTCCTCATAAACCACTGAGCCAATTTCATCCAAACTTCACAGGAATGTTCCTTTGGTGGTCACCTTTAAAAATTGTTCAAAGAATTTAATTCCATGCAGAACTCTGGTTGCCATGGCAACCGAAAGAAAAATCTTTAAATATCTTCTTTTAAACAACCCTAAGAGCTAGAGCTTAGATATTTGGCATGAAACATCTTCTAGTGAATGTCTACCAAGTTTGTTCAAATAAAAGCCCTGGGGTCAAAATTGGCCCCGCCCCAGGGGGTCATTGATTTTCCCTATATGCATATAGTAAAAACTTAAAAAATCTTCTTTTAAAGAACCGTAAGAGCTAGAGCTTAGATATTTGGCATGAAACATCTTCTAGTGAATGTCTACCAAGTTTGTTCAAATAAAAGCCCTGGGGTCAAAATTGGCCCCGCCCCAGGGGGTCATTGATTTTCCCTATATGCGTATAGTAAAAACTTAAAAAATCTTCTTTTAAAGAACCATAAGAGCTAGAGCTTAGATATTTGGCATGAAACATCTTCTAGTGAATGTCTACCAAGTTTGTTCAAATTAAAGCCCTGGGGTCAAAATTGACCCCGCCCCAGGGGGTCATAGATTTTCCCTATATGCATATAGTAAAAACTTAAAAAATCTTCTTTTAAAGAACCCAAAGAGCTAGAGCTAAGATATTTAGCATGAAACATCTTCTAATGAGTGTCTACCAAGTTTGTTCAAATAAAAGGCCTGGGGTCAAAATTGGCCCCGCCCCAGGGGGTCATTGATTTTCCCTATATGCATATAGTAAAAACTTAAAAAATCTTATTTTAAAGAACTCAAAGAGCTAGAGCTAAGATATTTAGCATGAAACATGTTCTAATGGGTGTCTACCAAGTATGTTCAAATAAAAGCCCTGGGGTCAAAACTGGCCCCGCCCGGGGGGGGGGTCATTGATTTTCCTTATAAGTGTAAAGCAAAAACTTAAAAATCTTCTTTGAAAAAACCCAAATAGCTAGAGTTTAGATATTAAGTTTGTTCAAATAAAAGCCCGGGGGTCAAAACTGGCCCTGCCCCAGGGGTGTCATTGTTTTTTACTATATGTGTATAGTAAAAACTTTAAAAATCTTCTTTTAAAAAACCCAATGAGCTAGAACTTAGATGTTTTCTTATGGGTGTCTACCAAGTCTGTTCAAATAAACAAATATAAACCCTTGGGTAAAAATTGGCCCGGGGGTCGGGGGGGCCTATATACAGGTGAGCGACCTCAGGGCAATCATGGCCCTCTTGTTACTATAACTTTTTCGTTTCTTATATACATATGTATGTACATGTACTTCAAACTTCAAATATTTGTTACTTATTATCGCCAACATCAAATTGTGTAACCAGATTCATAACTCTAGCATTAATATTTCAAAAATTATCCCCTCCCCCCTTTGAACTTGGAATTTTTAACTGGGTTGCACAGGTGCAAACCTGGGTTATAGTATGGTGACTGTCGGGCGGCAGGCGGGCGGGGAAAATCTTTTCATAACAGTTTTCTCAGCAGTCAGCAACTATTTATCACAGCCTATGATATTTGGCATACATCATTGCCACATGGTCACATACTGTGGGATTCGATTTCAGGTCTGTCTCTCATCATTTGAGTGGTGCTTTCTTGAAACTTATACATAAATACATTCATATCATAATTGATTTTTTGTCATAATAAGTTTTGTCTTTATTGAATTACTGCATCCAGTATTTAATTAGTCGAGCTTTGATGTCTCCTCCTTATACAGCCTTTGTATTTTTTTACCAATGTCACATATTTAGAAAAAGAATACATCAGGTACTGGTCCTTTAAGTTTGAGTGGACTTTGGGGCCACTGGGTTCAAGGTCATGCATAGATAATTGATAGATTTTCATTTGTAAGTTGAAATTTTTCAACTACATCAGATTCAGATAGCAATGACGACTAAAAATGATAAGGTGGACAAAAGCCCCCCATGAAATTTACACATAGGACAAAAGCCCCCCCATCAAAAATACAGGTAGGACAAAAGCCCCCCAATCTTTTTTCACATGCACAGGTGCTCAAATTCATCAAATTTCACACAAACTTTTAAATAAAAATGAAAAGAATTTGTTTTAATGTTTATTAATTTTATAATGTATATATTGAAGTGATAACAAAGTATATGATAACAGATGAAATAATGCATGCATGCGATACTGAATTCATAGCTTTTCATATACACAACAAGGGTCAGAAGAGTAGTAATGTTTAATCACTTTCGTAAATTTGTAAAGGGATCAAATTAATATCCTTAGCTTTATGTCACCTACATGTGATGTCCATACATATCTTTTAAACACATAAAAAACACAACTTTAATACACTATATGTAAATTTGATTGACCATGGGGGGGGGGGGCTTTTGTCCTACCTTTACTTTTTTATGGGGGGGGCTTTTGTCCTATGTGTAAATTTCATGGGGGGGGGGCTTTTGTCCACCTTGTCATTTTTAGATGGGGGGGCTTTCGTCCGGGGGGGCTTTTGTCCGTATCCCAGCAATGACATGCCTACTTATATTTTTCACTGAATCACACTACTCTATAAAGTTATATAACTGTGTTTGCAAAATACATTATCTGTCCATAATTGAGTGAATGGCTAAACATTTTTTTGAAAAAATGTTACTATATTACTGACAAATATCTGCAGGGGGTGGGGGCATTTGTGTTTATATTTTTACAAATGTTCTTGTTTAATATTAAAGAACAATTGTCAATACCATGACCTCATGGTCAATATTGACTTAAATGTGTTCACTTGATTTTACATTGAAGTTTATGTTTAATTATCTTTTATCTAAAAAGGATTAGAATTATATTTCTTTATTTGTTTATTTTTCATTGACTACATCTTTAGCCTATAAAATTTTGATGTTCAATAAATCCTTTGGCTTAATAATTCTACAGCTTACATAATGACAGGAGGCCTTTTCTAACAGATATGGTAGTCCCTCCCACTGTTCTTAAGCATAATGAATATCACCCTTAATTGGCACCCTTACTGTTTTGTAATATATCACACTTCCCAATACAGCTCCCAATATACAGCTCGTTAACTGCCAATAAGTGCCAGTCCCTTCTGTGTGTATATAGTTGGGATCCATAATCCCACTGTTTTATGAGGGGCTGGGATACATGATTTGTGTAAAGAAATTTATGTTTTTACAATTTTAACAATCCTGTTTTGACAGTTTGTTTCTTCTAGTTTTTTTAATAGCATTTATTTGTTGTGTGAAATATTATCTTAATAAACTTATAGGTCCACTTGATGTCAAAAAATAACATATAAAATGATATATATTTTATTTCAAAGTAAATAATGTTGTTTTCAGAGCAAAAAATATAGATTTTTTTTTCAAAATCAAGAAATCTGGTGTTCACAAAATTTTTAATAATAATTTCTATATAAATACATCATTTCACTCCATTTGTTCTGTTATTTCTTCATTTTTCATTGTAACTTTGGTGTTAAAGAGTAAAATTCCCTTTTCAGTTACAGTTAATGTGGGATTTAATAAGCACCTTATATAGGGGGACGGATGTTAAGGGACGGATGCTTCAGACTAGTGTAGGACTAAAGTCCCCCCCGGACGAAAGCCCCCACCCCTTCTAAAAAAAGCCCCCCCCCCATGAAATTTACACAAAGGACAAAAGCCCCCCCCCCCTAAAAAATACAGGTAGGACAAAAGCCACCCCCCCAGTCCAGCAAACAAAATCCCCCCTAAGGTTTATAGACCAGACTGATAACTATCTTTTTTCACACGCCCAGTGTTAGGGAACTTGGGTTATACTTCAAATAAATCTAGACAAGTATGCGCCTTCCACTTTTATTCCCTTGATAAGGGTTGATAAATGATTCTCTGAAAATATTCATTGATATTAATTTTGTACTGTACAATATATAATAAACATAAAAACATTCATATCATCAATGAATTATATACCAATTACACAATAAATCAAATTAGAACTTTTGTACCATTCAATTTAAATCTTAATGTAAATTATCTTTTAAAACAATTGCATTTGACTTGTCTCAATACATCAAGTTCCAGAATTAAACTGATGAGATTCTCAATAACAATGTTTCATGGACTGAGGGGGGGGGGGGGGCTTTTGTCCTACCTGTATTTTTGGTGGGGGGCATTTGTCCCATGTGTGTGTGTGGGGGGGGGGGCTTTTGTCCTACCTGTATTTTTGATGGGTGGGGGGGGGCTTTTGTCATTATACTAAAAGTCAGTTTGTCTTCAATTCTGTGCAGATTTCTTTCTATATTTGTCTGCCCAGACATACAGTGCCATCCCACTTTCACGCAATGAATAAAATTCATCAAACATATATCTGCCCACTTCTATGGATTATTTTTTATATAAATATAAACCCTTATATATAGAAAATTCAACTGTATGTCTGAATTATTCAAGAATTACAGAAGTTAGGATATGGTTGAATTAACTCTGCATGTATACTAGTACATGTAGTTAACAAGATTGTTACTTGTTACAAGCAATAGCAAAATGTCTAAAGTTATCCACATACATATTTATATCCTTGATGTTAAATCCATATGATGGTACATATAATTTGTAGCTATTCATATTCTCCAGCTTAGATTAAATGTAATTTATATATTTTTTTTTAATTATTTTCAGGTACATTTATCTTTTCTAATAGTTGGGCACACCCATGAGGATGTGGATGCAGCTTTTAGTAAAGTGGCCGATAAATTGCGAAAAACAGATGTTGAGACAGTTCAGAAATTTATAGATCTAGTTGATGGAAAGATGTTGGACAACATGTATGATGTAAAAAGCTGGCTCTCTCCAGAAATAAAATCGTTAACTGGTGTAAGTGGGCCCTTGCACTATAAATTTTGCAAAGCAGCAACAAAGACAGATGGTTTTTATAAAGGTGCCCAAAGTAATTCATGGATTCCAATGGAATATACTATACTTAAAACCATTCCAAAAAATAAGCCCAAAACTTTAGCCCCAGATTATTCCAACATAGACAAAGAGAGACAATTGAAACAAATTGAAAATATTTAACATATGTTTGAAAATCATGAAACATGGAGTATTTGGAGAACATTTTATGACAATATAAACAACAAGCCCAATACAGAAAAAACGAAATGGATTTTGGAGGAACTTCCCAGACAAACATATATTGAAGCCACAAACAGCATAACGATTTCAGAGGAGGTAGATAAACAGATTAACAAAGAAACAGTTGAGCCAAAGGTATCTTGGATATTTATTTATATTGCTTGACAAAAAGAAAAAAACGAATATTTCTAAATAGTAACAGATTACAGCTTAAAGGATTGAAGCAGATGATTCAAAATTCAAATTTCACCTTATACCTATGTAATTAATGTGTTCTGCTTAAGTCAGTGTGAGGGCCATGCATTTACCACTACAATCGATGAATGGGCTAAAACAAACCAAGCCTGCAACATTTTAGGTTTTGTTGTTTTGAGCATTCTTTAAGAATTCAATATTTTCTCTATTGATTATTGAGATTTTGCTATATTGCTTTATAGTTTTTCCTTAAAGTTTTGTTGTACAGATAGGGACCTTAATTTTAAGAAATATAATATGAATTGTGACACAAAATTTAAAAAAAATTTTTTTAGTAACATTCAAACGTTTATATGTAGTCTTATTTTAATTTCGGAACTAACATCTAATAGTCTTATTTTGAATTTGGAACTTACAACATCTATAGTATTTAAAAACTTACAACTTAACAGTAACTTAAGAAAATTCAGGTGAAAGCTGTATTGAGATATTTGTGGACATTATTATAAATAATATTTGATAAACTCTTTCCATCACAGTGAAAAATTAAAAAGAATTTACTTGAACTTGACATCTTGTGTTGTGTCATTTATGCATCATATAATTCTTTTAATGATTTTTAAAATGTGAAAGTTAATTGTTTGAATATTGAAATAATTAATGTTTTCATAATAAGTACTTTAAAAGCATTTTGACTAGGAAATGCTATGTTACATATAACAGAAAAGGATAACATAACTGTTCAGGAATTTCTTTTTTTTTATGAATATTTAGATAACCATAAAGAAACCTAGGCAACAGACACAATCAAGAATAATGTCAAATGAAAAAAGAAAGTCTATGCCGAAGAAAACCAATCAGAAAACCAGAAACAAAAGCGGAAAAACAGGTAACTTTCAGTAGCTTTATATATTTCATGAAGTCAGTACTCAGTTTACTAAAAAAAAAACAGTCACTAGGCTGAGGGTTTGAGCCGCACCAGCAACATCTGTTTTTTTATGTGATAAACCTGTCCATATTATATAGATATTCATTTCTGTTGATATGTTGATAAAAAAAACATGCAGAATATTTATTATAATCTACTCACACAAAAAACATATAAACACAGGTGCTTTAGAAACGTATAAAGAATTATGTAAAGTTCATTGGACTATGAAAAAAAATGTCAATTATTAGTAATTATCATGCTTATTGATGTTATTCGCTAGTCACGGCGTATACAAAAGCATTTACAGTTTGCGTTCATTGAATGACTTGGATTTTAGTTGCTTGGAGTATGTGTAATCCTTTGTTAAAAGTACTATAGCGATCAACTGCTACATTGATAAACAGCTGTTATGTTGTTATAATGAAAGCGATGTACAGTATGATACTGTTAAAGTAGCACGAAATAACTGTCATTTTTTGGTCCAGACGTCTGGATTTATGTAACGGTTATTTCGTGCTACTTTAACAGTATCATGTTATGTTGTTATAATGAAAGCTATGTACCGTATGATACTGTTTAAGAAGCACAAAATAACCGTTAGTCTGGACTGAAAAATAACAGTCAATTACCTGCTATTCTTGTTCTATTTTATAGATATTAAGGTCAATCATAAATCGCAGGAATTGCTGCATCATTAATGTGACATTCATAAATGGAAAAAAGGCTATACTGCATGCGTATATATAGGGGTGGAGACTGGGAATAATTTTATTTCAATATTATTTTTTCATGTTTTGGACATCAAATACATGTAGGTTTATACCGTACGTTGTTCAGCCGTTGCCTTCAGAAACTGTAATTTAGGCCGTAGCGACTTAATATTCGCCTACAAATCCACGAAAGTTTGTCTCCGTGAAAATGTTGATGTTGTGAAAAACGCGAAATATTGTATCCGCGAATATTTCTAGGAATACAGTATACTGATATCATTATGTGAGAAAAATAAACAGTTTATCTTATTTTTAGGCTTTTTTATTTGATTAAAAGTCAATGTTGTCTTACATTACAGATCAAAGACGGAAAAGGGCCCATAATAAGGACTGTCAAAGACTTGTGATGATTCCGCTCACAGATGAAGAAAAGAAACACATCTGGATTTTAATTCTGTTAAACCTGTTTGAAAATTGTATAATGTTATTGTTCCTTTTTATATATTTAAATTTCTTGAAACTGTATTGTTTACTTGAATTGCTGTATTATTTAGAAAACCTGTTTCAGGCTTTGTTGATAGCGCATACAGGGAAGGTTGCATTAAGATTTCATATGGGTAATGATTTCTTTGTATGTGCTTAGCTGATTACACACTTTTATGGGTATTTTTTGCATAGATGACTTGCTCTCATTTAGCAATTAGGAAATATATTTTTCTTATTTCTCTGCTGTGATGCAATTTTTTTTTCATATATACTACCATTAAAAATCTGCAGAACAATTTTTTGAATGTAGTTGATTTAATGTTATTACCATTTGGTACCTTCTAAATAGTTGAAAATAATTTCAAATTATGTAAGTTGTAAATTGATCACATATTACTATTTACTTTTTTTGGCAAACTAGAATATATTTTAATTTGTATGTATTTAATCTTTGATTGATTACACATATGCTAAGTTACATATTTTATTTACTATTTTGTTAAGATTGATTGATTCTGAGAAAATCCGAGTTTCATTTCCATGCCAGTTTAACAGTTTTGTCCTTGAATGTATTTCTATATATTTCTGTTAAACTATTTTGTTAAGCTACCTTATCAATTTTTGTCATGAAATGTATTGATATATACTTAATTTATTTATTGTGTTGAAGTAGCTTAACATTTGCATAACAATTTATATGGTAGTTTTAAAATATTACTTAGAACTTTGGAACTACAGTAATTCTTAGATAAACAGGCGCTCCAATGAATTTCAGTGGTTCAGCTAACATATAAATTTATCGGATAACTTGAAATTTTATGCTGTTCTTCTACTTGATATTATACAAATGTTAGCTGGTTAACATTTCAGCTAATGAAATTAATTTTAGTTTTGTTAAATCAGCATCCCAGCTTAACTGTTAGACTTATTGATAATTTACGTTCTACTTTAATATGAGATTTATCCTACAGTTTAAAATCTTTTTTTGAAATATTACTTTGATTTGAGAATTTGTAAAGCCGGTGTAATATTTTTCTTCATCTAATGAAACTGATTTTTCGATTTTGTTAAACTGGCTTAACAATTTATTTGAGAATTGATATGCTGTAATTCCACTTGGATATGAGAATTTGTTAAGCCAGCTTAACATTTCTCTTCATGTAAGGAAAATGATTTTTCGATTTTGTTAAGACGCCATAACAATTTATCTTACAGTTTAAAATTTTCTTTGAAACATTACTTTGATTTGATAATTTGTTAAGCCAGCTTAACATTTTTCTACATGTAAGGAAAATGATTTTTCGATTTCGTTAAGCCGGCACAACAATTTAACTTACAGGCTGTAATTCCACTTGGATTTGATAATTTGTTAAGCCAGCTTAACATTTTTCTACATGTAAGGAAAATGATTTTTTGATTTTGTTAAGCCGGCATAACAATTTAACTTACAGGCTGTAATTCCACTTTGATTTGAGAATTTGTTAAGCTGGCGTAACATTTTTCTTCATCTAATGAAAATAATTTTTGATTTTGTTAAGCTGGCGTAACAATTTAACTTACAGGCTGTAATTCCACTTGGATTTGAGAATTTGTTAAGCTGGCGTAACATTTTCCTTCATCTAATGAAAATGATTTTTTTATTTTGTTAAGCCGGCATAACAATTTAACTTACAGTTTGAAATTTTGTGCTGTAATTCCACTTGGATTTGAGAATTTGATAAGCTGGCGTAACATTTTTCTTCATCTAATGAAAATGATTTTTTTATTTTGTTAAGCCGGCGTAACAAATTAACTTTGAAATTTTGTGCTGTAATTCCACTTGGATTTGAGAATTTGTTAAGCCGGCGTAACATTTTTCTTCATCTAATGGAAATTATTTATCTTACAATTAAAATTATTTTCCATTTTGTTAAGCCGGCATAACAATTTGTCTCACAGTTTGAAATTTTCTTTGTAATATTTATTTGATTTGAGAATTTGTTAAGCCGGCGTAACATTTTTCTTCATCTAATGAAAATATTTTTTTGATTTTGTTAAGCTGGCGTAACAATTTAACTTACAGGCTGTAATTCCACTTGGATTTGAGAATTTGTTAAGCTGGCGTAACATTTTTCTTCATCTAATGGAAATTATTTATCTTACAATTAAAATTATTTTCCATTTTGTTAAGCCGGCATAACAATTTAACTTACAGTTGAAATTTTGTGCTGTAATTCCAATTGGATTTTAGAATTTGATAAGCCGGCGTAACATTTTTCTTCATCTAATGAAATTTATTTATCTTACAATTTAAATTATTTTCCATTTTGTTAAGCCGGCATAACATTTGTCTCACAGTTTGAAATTTTCTTTGTAATATTTATTTGATTTGAGAATTTGTTAAGCCGGCGTAACATTTTTCTTCATCTAATGAAAATATTTTTTTGATTTTGTTAAGCTGGCGTAACAATTTAACTTACAGGCTGTAATTCCACTTGGATTTGAGAATTTGTTAAGCTGGCGTAACATTTTCCTTCATCTAATGAAAATGATTTTTTTATTTTGTTAAGCCGGCGTAACAAATTAACTCACAGTTTGAAATTTTGTGCTGTAATTCCACTTGGATTTGAGAATTTGTTAAGCCGGCGTAACATTTTTCTTCATCTAATGGAAATTATTATCTTACAATTTAAATTATTTTCCATTTTGTTAAGCCGGCATAACAGTTTGTCTCACAGTTTGAAATTTTCTTTGAAATATTTATTTGATTTGAGAAATTGTTAAGCCGGCGTAACATTTTTCTTCATCTAATGAAAATGATTTTTTGATTTTGTTAAGCTGGCGTAACAAATTAACTTACAGTTTGAAATTTTGTGCTGTAATACAACGATTTGAGAATTTGTTAAGCCGGCGTAACATTTTTCTTCATCTAATGAAAATGATTTTTTGATTTTGTTAAGCCGGCGTAACAAATTAACTTACAGTTTGAAATTTTGTGCTGTAATACAACGATTTGAGAATTTGTTAAGCCGGCGTAACATTTTTCTTCATCTAATGAAAATGATTTTTTTATTTTGTTAAGCCGGCGTAACAAATTAACTTACAGTTTGAAATTTTGTGCTGTAATTCCACTTGGATTTGAGAATTTGTTAAGCCGGCGTAACATTTTTCTTCATCTAATGAAAATGATTTTTTATTTTGTTAAGCCGGCGTAACAAATTAACTTTGAAATTTTGTGCTGTAATTCCACTTGGATTTGAGAATTTGTTAAGCCGGCGTAACATTTTTCTTCATCTAATGGAAATTATTTATCTTACAATTAAAATTATTTTCCATTTTGTTAAGCCGGCATAACAATTTGTCTCACGGTTTGAAATTTTCTTTGTAATATTTATTTGATTTGAGAATTTGTTAAGCCGGCGTAACATTTTTCTTCATCTAATGAAAATATTTTTTTGATTTTGTTAAGCTGGCGTAACAATTTAACTTACAGGCTGTAATTCCACTTGGATTTGAGAATTTGTTAAGCTGGCGTAACATTTTCCTTCATCTAATGAAAATGATTTTTTTATTTTGTTAAGCCGGCGTAACAATTCAACTTACAGTTTGAAATTTTGTGCTGTAATACAACTTGGATTTGAGAATTTGTTAAGCCGGCGTAACATTTTTCTTCATCTAATGAAAATGATTTTTTGATTTTGTTAAGCCGGCGTAACAATTCAACTTACAGTTTGAAATTTTGTGCTGTAATACAACTTGGATTTGAGAATTTGTTAAGCCGGCGTAACATTTTTCTTCATTTAATGAAAATGATTTTTTTATTTTGTTAAGCCGGCGTAACAAATTAACTTACAGTTATGTCAATTAAATCACTGTTAATTAAAAGATACAAATACATTTATGTTGATTTTTTGCTTGTCTTTGTTCTTTTCTTTCTCAAAAATGGTAAAAAGGGCATCCTTTTTGTAGTGTAATTTGGCCATAATTGGTACGTGAATTGGGAATGAGTGGACATTCCCTTTTTAAAATAGAAATGGTTATAAGAACTCCATCCCTCGTGTACATGTAACACTTCCTCACCCGAGATAATTGAAGGTCTGTAATTAAATAAATAATTATTAGTATTTAGTATCAGAAATGGTAACGAACAACGAAAGAATTATATTCGATGTCGTGTGAGATTCAAGATTTATAGATTATCATAGATTCAAATAATAAATTGTTCAAGAACAAAATATTATTATTGATCATATTTGAATGCTCATACGGAAGCATTTAGAACTTTCCAAAATGATATAAATGTTTCTGTTGTTTTCACAAATACTTGAAATACGTATGGATCATATGCCCATTTAAGACCTATCCACTTTAAAAAATTTGCTCCATATTATGCATCTATTACAACAACAACAACAAGAATTTTTTATGCGTATACTGACTAATATTTCTAAAACATTTTTCTTGCTTTTTAATTTGTGAAAATTAAGGTTCATGCCTTTATTGACATACCGGAGTAAATAACGAAACACACACAAAAAATGCTAGAAATTTGCTATGAAGAGTAAGACGGTTTTGACATATATATGTTTCCAGAGCATCTAACCTCAGACACTATTGGTTTCTAGAATGACTGCCCTGTGAATAGTATAAATAACGTATTAGTATGCTGGTATGTGAGTGTTGATAATAGAAGTTTTACCAGAGCTTACAGATTCACTATTTCTTTAGGAAAAAAAGATTTGCAAATCGGCTATTCATATGCTATGCTATTATTAATAAAACTGTATCATTCATTGACAGAATATTTCAAATAAAACTGACAGCCTAACAACATTTGGATGTGAATGAATAACAAAATTAATTGGATTTTGTTACTAAGATTTTTTCTTCAAAAAAAAACTGCTATTTGCGTGATATCCTTTTATTAATAAAACAGTATCATTAATTAACAGAATATTTGAAATAAAACTGAAAGTACAACAAGATTCGGATGTGAATAAATATTTAAAAAAATGGATTTTGTTTTCAACTTACTTCTTCCTTACTGATATGTGATATTCATGCGTCAAGAGTACAAAATGGATTTTAATATCAGCAATTTGATAGTGCTGATGACTGTTATTTCAGCAAATGTGCATTGTCAGCAAAATGGAACGCAAGACCAAGGTTACAGGTAACAGAAATGATTAATTTAACTTACAAATAAGGTACCATTTTCAACAACGGTGGAAAAATCATTAAACACTTATAATCTTATTTTACAATGAAGCGGATTGATTTTATTTGATATTCATTCTGTCATGTTAATCTGCTTAGAATAATCTCTATGCTTGAATGTTATAAATGAACATTTTCTTAAAGGCCCATCATGCCTCAGATTTTTCTCTTTTATTTCTCTTTTGCATCTGTTTTTGTTTAGCAGTTAGTACAGTTACAGGGATTTAGTATCTTGCATTAACTTACAGTCAAAATACTACTTTAATTATATATTGCTACCTTTAAAACATTTTTGTTACATTTATGACTTCTTTCTTTAGTGTCTAACATGATCTAAAGGCAAAACTTAAACGTTATACAATTCATGCTCGTCCTTTCTTAAGAATTAAAACTTTATCTCTTTAGAATTAAAACTTTATTTGTTTCTTGGTTAATGTTGTATCAGCAACATCTGTGTAAAACGCTTAAATCCTACCACGTAATATTTTGTTTAACCTATTTGCTGAAATATAGATAAGAATTACCAAGCTTGAATTAGAACCGGAAGTGATAAGTCTTGCCCTCAGTTTAGAGATCTATGCCAGTCCGTACACCTGCATCTGATCGGGTTATACTGTTGTAAAAGAATTATTTTTGAAATTATTGTTATTGAAATACTACAAAAAATTACCCAAAATGTAAAGTTGACCCCCGTTCCAAAAATTTTTAAAAAAAAAACAGAAAAAGTTTTACGATTTAAACAAAAATTTTGTTGTTTTACAACTGATGCAATAAGTCTTAAATTTTACAAAAAATTACGGATAATAAAGATTTTTGCATATTTGACCAAATTTCTGGTGAACTGAAAGCAAATTTAAGGCAAATTGCTTTTTTGGGATTTCAAAATATTGTTAATAAAATTTTAAAATTTCTAAAATTAGGTAATTAGATTTTTAAAGTAAAAAAAGTCAGTCAAATTAATGATATAACAATTTTTATGTAGAATATTCCATTAAGTTGTCTTTCGTCATTTCGAATTACAGTTTATAGCAAACAATTATTATCATATTAAACATTTTATAAAGTCATCATAATGTTTAATATGTTCGCTAAATTAATCATGTTAAAATGTGAGCAAAGATGTTTAAAGTTGAACATCTCAGGATAAGGAAACAAACTCATGTAACATATATAAAAATATATGAAGGTAACAATTTGAGTATTATTCATTTACAAAACATGAGTAGATTAATATTTTTTTTCACCACATTTCTATCCGCTTTACAAACGGAGTGAGGGATGCTTTATCATATGTTTTAATATAATTCAATATGTGTATTGTTAATGTTAGCTAAAAGTACTTTATATGGCAATATTTTTGCTGTTCAAATCCATGTATAAGGTTTTGTTAATTTACGTAAGCATTGACTTCTTGTAATCTATGGCAACATTGTTTGGCTTTGCTTTAAAAACTATTCTTCAATATTACCACGAAGCATGTTTTTTTACTGTTAATTAAATTGTCCACTTTGCTTTGTTGTAAATAACAATTCGTTGCTTAGTAGGGTTAGTTACTTTTTGTTGTTTTATCCTTCATAGCTAGATAACAGCCGTACATATTTTTGTGACATACATACAAAACAATGAATTTGTTTTATTTAAATGCCTTTTTTCACAAGTTTCAACAAATTGATTTACACGTTATTGCGAACTTTCGTCGTATATAAGGCTGCACTTGCACAATACGTATGATGCTATGCATATTAATATACCTAAATCAATATTTAATATTCGGAAAATGAAGCCGAAGGACCGGCAGATAAATATTATTCCATTTATCAATATTAGCCATTGCATATTAAATGGCTTCCAAGTTTCGCTAATACGTATGTGATATATTGCCATAAATCACAAAAAACGACCATGAGCTTGCATATATTAGCCACTAATATATACATTACAGCGAAATGTTTCGCAAATATATATTTTTGATCAAATATGCATGAAAAACATTTTAAGCTTATCTACTGTAAACATGTATCGTTAACATCGTCTCATATGTATTACATGCAACAGAAAGGTTTGTAAGGATGATGTATCATTCTGGAAATGCAGGTATGTTATAACACCAACCATTTAAATTAACATACCAATTTTTTGCACTCCCTTTTGCGTTTAACTTAAACCAAGCTTAAAAATTTGTTTATTTTTTGATTGCACAAACCACGATAAAGAACAGTTTTGCTATGTGGTGTATTTTTCATCATCACCATCCTTTAGTGATAACTTAACAAATGAACTGCATTTTATACTATTAATTTATTAACTTAGAGTCAGGCATGCAAGTAATTTAAACAATTAATTTAAACAATATATTACATTTAAATATTTTGTGCACGAAACGTTGAATATGAAAAACGAGATATTTATAAAAAAGTAAATATTGCATCAGGAATAATGCATTTAAGGCTTTATTCACTTTTTATAAAATATAAAAGCAAATATGTTATCAGTTCAGTCTTTGTTACGACGCATTTGCATTGCTTTGAAGTTTTGAACTGTCCAATAAAAATAGGTATTTCAATACATATTCCACAAAATGTATTCTACTGGGTGAGACGAAAAGATGCTTGCGTAGTGTTTGACAGATGGTCATGAAATATCCGTCGAAATTACGGTATTTATTCATTACTATTTAATATTTAAATACAATGTATAAAAGTCAAGATCCGGGAATATTTTGATACGATTCATGTTTGTATCAGGCACTTTAGATTATTTTTTAAAAATTTCATCTTATGTTACCCTATATCAGCTGCAAAGTTGGTGATTTAAGGTGAAATGAAACGGTAAAGGACGGCATTTATTATTTGTTTTAAATATATATAACGACCTGACTAAAAGGAAAATTGCCAAAATTTACGATAATGTTTGGGATTTTAAGGAAGAAAGCACTTTTAAAGTTCCTTTTAACTCGGGGAAAATTTATTTTCCCTACTGAATAGGGAAAACACAAACTATCTTTTACACCTGAAGAAAATCACTTGCCCGAATTGTTTGATTGTCCCTTTGCTTTTGTTTATCAAAAAAAAACAGCCGTTTAAAATATCAAAAAAGGAAAATTAACACTCCTAATATTAAGCCAACTTTATTTAAAAGAAACCGGAAAAAATAAAATAATGGATTTTTTGGGGGGTTTACTCATGAACATTTTATTGTAAATAATTACACATTTTCCGGGCCCTTTAAACGAAGCGCTAAAAAAGCCCAAAAGCAAAATTATTCCTTTTTTTTTTTTTGAATTTTTAACTTTACGAAATAATTAAAATATTCCAAAACCGGAAATAAAAAAATTATGAAATTTTATAAACGTGAAATTTGTATCGTCAACATCCAATTTTTTTTCCCTTTTCGAAAAGACAATTAAAGAAGTATTCATTTTTTTAATTAACCTAATACTAGTAATTCACAATTCTAAAACCATTTTTTAATATGTGAGAACAAAACATATATGATATGACTGTAAAATACAGTGAAAAAAATAATGTTTAACAATTTGACCATAGAAAGGAAACAAGTGTGTGATGTTGTTAGTTTTAATAAATTACCCAGTATGGTTCTGATTTATTCATGAGAAATCACATTGTTCAAATAATACGTATATTAATAAAAACACTTTTTCTATAAGAAACATAAAAGAAAGGTTAGTGTAAGAAATGAAGTACACTTATAAGATAATCCTATGTAGCAATACTTATTTTCTATCATAGTTCAACCTTGTAACATATGTTTTCAATCCCAGCACGTTCCACGCATTCTTGCCATTAATCTTTATCATATATCCACCCATATTTCATTTTTGTTCATTTATATTATTACTGCTGAAATTATCATCCAATGGTAATCTGATTAATATTTACCTGCTATATTCTAATTTAATAAAGTCATTTGATTTTAAGTATTTGTCCTTATTTAAGATGTCTCTTTTGTGCTAATAGTGATTTTGACAATTTTCTTGTATACGTACGTATTTGAGACGCACATAGGACATGACCATATCTTAAATATAATCATTTTGAAACCATTGAGACACACCAAAAGGAGATTATATTGAATCTTGTAAATTTTATGATTAGGCAAAAATATGACGAAGATCGTTCGTTATTATTAATCAATTTTGTGTTGCATGCATAACGTCTTTATACAATCTTTAATTGATTATCCATAAATCCTCGAACAATTGCTTCTGTAAAATGTTCATACTTTTAAAATTGGTGTTTGTATCATATCGATGATTGTTTGCTGCTGAACATATAGTAAAATATTGCAAAACATTATTTTTATATGACTGTGAATTTAAAAAAAAAGTAACATGTTCTGTGTATGATTATTTCAGAAAGACGCTTATAGAAGGTTTATTTTTAGGATATGACAATAGGCTTGCTCCTACGTCACCCGAAGGTGGGTATATCATTCGTTTAATTTATTTTAAATCGTAGCCGTAGTGCAATAACTGATTAACTCCGATACAATATAGAAGAGCTTATTGCGTTACCGCACTAAAGTGACGAAATGCTCTTTGTGTATTTCATTACATTATAATAACTCCGAAAACAAGACAACAACTCCGCATATTTGATATTTTACGTGACCTTGAATCATGTTTTTCAACATACATTTTGTATTTGTAACAGCCAAAATATTTTTTATCTCATTTATTTAATATTTTCCCCCAAAGTAGTTATTAAATTAGTTATCTTTTAATTATAAAATGTCTAATATTTTAGAAGAGTTCGTTTTGCAAAAAATAAACCTTTCAGATGTTTCATTAATGTACCCTACCAAACATAAGCCAGGTCTATTTCGAAAACGCTTCAATCATTTAAGATCTCTTGAGACCATACATCTGTTTTGTTATAATTTTATTTCTGAATGCTTTATGAACGAACATATGGACAAATGACTTGAAGTATTGCTTTGAGCAATACCAATATATAATAAAAAAAACTATTTTCTGTCTGGTAGATAAAGCAATATTTATATTTCTATCTCTCTATATGTTTTTTTTTGTGATTGATAATAAGAGGCTGACGACTGAGATCATTGTAAGCTTTTTATGTGACAAAAATGCATTACTGTAATTACACTTGCCAGTCCAAAGTGACCTAAACCTTTACTTTACTTGTTACTTTCCTGACAAACATGGAATCCTTATTATTGACGATGGGGTTATTGAAACTTGCCGACAACAATAATAAAGGGATAATCCATTATAATCACTATGTCTAGAAAAATTGAATGAGCCGTGCCATGACAAAACCAACATAGTGGGTTTGCGACCAGCATAGATCCAGACCAGCCTGCCCATCCGCGCAGTCTGATCAGGATCCATGCTGTTCGCTATCAGTTTCTCTACTTGTAATAGGGTTGGTAAGCGATGGATCCTGATCAGACTGCGCGGATGCACAGGCTGGTCTGGATCCATGCTTGTCACAAACGCACTATGTTGGTTTTGTCGTGACGCGGCTCATATGATTATTTTACTTCTTTTGCAGAGGGAGCGACCGAAGTAACAATTCAAATATTTTTAACAAGCATTGATACAATAAGTGAATCAAATATGGTAAGCCATTATTATGTTTATTACCAATGTGATCAGAAAATATACACAAACCCTTAAAGGAACAGAAATAAAAGGCCTTAAGCTATGTTATTTTTTTTGGTTTTGAATTCAAATAGATAATTATTGTTTCATGATTATAAAAAACATTTGTTTCAAAGTTTTTCTGCAAGACATTTTTTTTAAAACGTATACATATAAGCAGGCACTTACAAATACACTATGCTCAAATGTTAGAAAATATTAATGATTGCTACATATTCTATTTATAAATATAAAAATAAAATTATAAAATGTTTTGACTGAACGTTTTGAAAACAAGTAGGTTTTTTTTAACTCAACGCCCTATAGGTAGTCACAATATAAATATACACTAGTATTATTATAGAAAAACAACTGGCAAGCTATGTTTAGAAAAGACTACCTTTACTTGACCTGTAATAAGGAACGCATCTTTCTATACATAGGTTACAAACCTTTTATTCAAATTGGATATATTAAATAAGACTTTCACGAATTTCAAGAAACTAGTGTGATTAATGTTTAATTAACGGATAAGTATTATATATCAGATTATTTTAGCTGACTGAAAAATATCTTCCATTTGACTTTTTCTTATTATTTTGTCAATGATTTCAAGCACTTGTTTCGTAGATTTTTTTCTAATCACTCAATACCTATTTGATTTAAATTGTCTACCATCATTAACAATACGGTCATTGTTTTACTTTTCTAGGACTTTTCCCTCAGTATGTTCCTGAGACAGAGCTGGGTTGACTCCCGGTTAAATTTCACACCAATCAAAGGTAAATACTTTTTAGATTCACTCCGGTTTTAAAATACAAACCAATTAAAGAAAAATAATGAACAGATTGACTCCCGGTTAAATTACACACCAATCAAAGGTAAATACTGTATAGTTTGACTCCTGGTTAAATTACACACCAATCAAAGGTAAATACTGTATAGATTCACCCCGGTTAAATTACACACCAATCAAAGGTAAATACTGTATAATAATAGATTCACCCCGGTTAAATTACACACCAATCAAAGGTAAATACTGTACAGTATAGATTCACCCCGGTTAAATTACACACCAATCAAAGGTAAATACTGTATAATAATAGATTCACTCCGGTTAAATTACACACCAATCAAAGGTAAATACTGTACAGTATAGATTCACCCCGGTTAAATTACACACCAATCAAAGGTAAATACTGTATAGATTCACTCCGGTTTTAAAAATACGAACCAATCAAAGAAAAATACTGTATAGATTGACTCCCGGTTAAATTACACGCCAATCAGAGGTAAATACTATATGGATTCACTCCGGATGTAAAATACAAACCAATCAAAGAAAAAATAATGTATCTATAGATTGACTCCCGATTGAAATGAAAACAAATCATAGGCAAATACTGCATGGATTCATACCGGTTTTAGAAAATGTAAATACTGGGTGGATTGACTCCCTTTTCAAGTACAAACCGGTCAAAGGTGCAGACAATAATGGTGAAATAGATCGGCTAATTTAAAACTGAAACTGGTTAGTAATGAACACATAGCAATTTAGTGAATAAAATTACTTCAAAAACAGTCAATTAACTAGACCTTCTAATAGATAGCCAATTAAACACACAAATTTGCCACGAGTCATTTCAAATATTACAATCCTATTGGACAAAAGTTATTTCAATCATCACTAAGCTCAATTAAATCCTTTTTGTTTTTGCTTTGTCATGTAGTTTTTCTTTACCAAATACTAGTTAAAGATAATGTGCTAGCACTCAATCTAAGTCTGTATGATTTTGATAAACACGGCATTCAATCTATATTTAATGGCCAATCAGACATAGAAATCCCAAAACAAATATTATTTCTTGATAACATGGCAACCGTATTCCAGATATGAATGTTAATTAAGGAAACGGTCTTATGTGTATCATTTATTCGATTATTAATTACCGGATGTCCAGTAATAATTACACAGAAAAACTGACTATAAATTGGAAATTCCGTGATGAAATGTAGTCTCTACTTTATGGTTTGCAACAGTTAGCGAACAACCTATATAAAATACGATAAGTTGAAAAAACACATGAGATGTACACTGACTGAAACAGACCTTTTCATAAGACAATGAATACACAGATATTTTCATGAACATGACATGCTAATGTCAATAAAAGTCATTTATTTCTACAATACATTTCATGTCGAAATATTTTTGTCGACTTATATGATGATAAAGAATGTGTTAACTGTATTTTGGTGGCTTTACTGTAAACGTATCAATGTATTATAAAGTAGTTAGTTGATATCGGATTGTTTTTCAAATTTGGGTATTCTAAAAGCAATATACATGTACCTGTATAACATGTCAAAATATGAAGATAAAAAGTATACATATGTTACTAAACAAAACAAAACAAACAGGGAAAAGGAAAGAATAATGCAATTCTGAATTTTAGATAAGTTAATTGAAATAATAAATATGTTAAGAATTCAAATCCATGCCACGATCAGAATAATCATATTGGCTAACAAAAGTTGCCTAGCAATATGCTTTCGATGGACTACGTTGACCAATATAACTATGTTCCTCCAGAAAATAACAACGTGTCGCTACTAAATGAATTTTTTATAAAATATATGTCTATAACCCGGTTTTATTATACGTTAATCAAAATCTAAACACTTGTTTCAATGTGTCAATGTGTAGAGCTTCATTGCAAAGATGGTGCGATCTGGATCATGAAAACATGTTAATATTATCAAAAACATATAATTACGTATATAATGCACGCGTTCGACGAAAGACTATAGTATAGATTTGAAACAGGTGTATCAACAAAACAATTCAAACGCAATTACAATATATCAATCTTGAAACAATAGTTTCTGGGGCGTGTTTTAGGTCGTTGCGCATGCTTACCTGTGTTGAACAACAAAAACCTATAGAACTTGTGTCAGTGCCTGAACGTAATTCGAACTGTCAGTAATGTTACTTCTTGGCCGGATTTATGTTTTCTTCTAATCTGACCTAACACAAAGATCAAATACCAAACCCAACAATTAGGCTATAATAACAATTACATTGTTTATTATAATAACAACTGACAAAATGTTTCAAATTAATGCCGTGTTGTTATTACATTTGGGAAGTCTTGTAAAGAGGACAAAACACTCTCTTAACCTTTCATACATTATTATTTTGTCTGTAAATTTTCCTGACAATTATTCTATTATGTAATTTTATAACTGGATGGAACGCCAGTAATTGTAACATACCGGAATGTAGGTTAAGTGTAAAAGCTGTTACTTCTAGGAGTAAAGGGTGTGGGGGAGATATATAATGAATATTGTCAGTTAACTCATAGAGAACAGTTTCACAATTATCGTGATTTGAACGAATGCTAATTATTATTCTGTTTGGTATGATATTAAGCAGCTACTGAACTGAGGTGTTTCAGACAAGTGGATAATAATTTTTCAAGAAGCTGTCTTGACAGATTACCTATTACAATTTGATCAAGATGAGTTTACCATCAGCCAAAGAAAATGTTACTTGTCATGTATTGTTACGTTGATACAAAGTGTTTCGTGTAACATAACAGAGAGTTACGCTGTTTATTCTGTTACTCCGCCACCATTGAACAACATTCAGGTCGTACCGCTTGTTTACAGGTGTTGCAGCACAAAGAAACATATATAAAACTTGGTGTCCGTACATGAACGCCCACTGAGTTGTCAGTAATGATCTGTCTTGGCCGGATTTATGTTTTCTCCTAATCTGACCTAACATAAAGATCTAAGACTAAACATAACAATTAGGCTATAATAATAATAACATTGTTTATCATAGCCTCAAAAATGTCTGGATGGGTTTTATACGCAAAAAAAAACCTCAGATAAAGTCAGCAATGGACTTTGCTGTCAATTGATAGATCCTTTCTCTGACCTTTTAATTCAATGTCAATAGATTTACCCACAAACAATGGCATGTGCTCTTTTGTTAACAAATATGTTGTGGTGAAATTCTTATTGTAACCACTTATCTGACAATTAGAATTGGACAGGTCAGGTATCTATGCATTAGAGGCCTGCTTTTATATTACTCGTTAGAAACTTATTTAAACTTAAATACAAAAATAACATTATACCCTTACATATATGTATATTTGCAATGAAGATTGAACATTATAGTGTGTTGAAAGCCTTTAAAAAATACTCAAATTACACAAAATGAAAAAAACACAATGTTGATTTGAAAAACTAAAATTCAGTAGCGTTCGTAAGTGTGCCATTTTTGTTTCACTTAAGAACTTTTCAATTTTGCAATAAGCTTTTATCAAATAGAAAAATATAGCTAAATTGGTTTTCAATGTAATATGTTGTACCGTAAATTCCATTAAATTCCATATTCTGTATTCATCCCACGGGATTTATATTCCTAATTCTCATTTTTACTAGGAATGCAAAAGCTTGAGTTAGATACGACGTCAATTTCAAAAGTGTGGATTCCAGACCTGTTCATGCCGACGGAGAAAAGGGCGTCGGTTCACCACGTGACTGTACCAAACAAATTAATGCATGTGTATCCGGATGGAAAGATACAATATAGTCTCAGGTATAACATAAACTGTTTAAGCTGTTGTTTAGTTTCATGTCACTAGCCGTAAAAATCATAAATGTATCTCTTGATGTTGACATTAAATTTGTAGTTGTTTTATGACATGTATTTTTTACCAGAATAAAACTATCTATCTATCTACCTACCTACCTACCTACCTACCTACCTACCTACCTAACCTACCTACCTACCTACCTACCTACCTACCTACCTATAATAAATTCTTTACTCTCCTCATAAGCATTAAAAGTTCTAAAATTCTATATAAAAAAGTGATCCAACGGTAGCATTAACATCTTACAGCAAAATTACGTTAAAATTGCCGAGATTTTGATTGTGTCTGTTGGAAGAATACAATCATGCCTGCTAGCACCGATTTTAGCGGTATGCAATATTTAACCCCAAACGTGCTGGAATCAATGATCCTGAAAAATATAACAACACTGAAACGAAGCACGAGCCAACTTTAACAGCTACCACAAGTCAAAATTAAATTGAATGTGCCTGAAAATCTATGAGAAACCAAAAGTGTTATTTCTAAGAAAAAACAATAGTTTTAAAATTATCTCTACGAATATTGCAATGTTGCAATAATTAGTGCCTAACCTCCATGTTTTATTATATTTTCAGGATTTCTGCGACTATAAAATGCAACTTTGATTTACGGAAGTTCCCAATGGATTCTCAGCATTGTTTTGTAGAAATGGAAAGTTGTAAGAACCTATATTATTATCATTGTTATTTTAATTTGAATTTGCAAACAACGGACATTTCTTTATTTTTCTAATGAATTACAATAAAACTTTATGATAGTTAATACGACGCAACAAGTGAATGTGCCCCATCACAGGCACATGATGAAAGTGTCGACGAATTTTTAACGAATTTATGAAAGCATTTAGACTGAAAACTTTGGCAGGCTAGACGTGTTAGTCATTGCTTTTGATCGCCTAAGTTCTGTCAATACACTCGTAAGATTTTGTAATTGGAAATGGCAATTTAGGCATAAAATAGTTTCATTTCATTGTTCCACAAAAAATTATTTTGTAAATAAGCGGCGAAATATAGTTGAATTTTAATTTTAATTACACATTTAATATTTAGTTATGCAAGAAAGCTTTTTCAGTATATTGTTATAGTTTTGCTCAAGATTTAATGACGTTACATTTGTGTTTTTTTTTGTATAGAAAAGACAATTTATCAAATTAAAGTTAAATATTTGTCCAATGTATTATTCATAAATTTATGGAATAAAAAACAATTTTGTTCTGTTTCTAGATGGTTATACAACTGAAACACTTCGATTTAAATGGGATAAAAAGTCAATTAGCTCTCAGGGAGATATCAAGATACCACAGTTTTACCTTAATGACTTAACAACGAGCCAATGTGATAAGCTCTACTACGGAGGTATTTTATATTTATGATGCTTGTACTTTCCAGCAAAATGAAAAGAAAATGCTATTTTATATTTTAACAAGAACCTTTTACCGTCGGATTCTCATCTGTCATTGAATAGAAATATGAAATGCTATTTGCATTATACTCGTATCATGTATTAAATGCATTATCGACCATACGAATTCTGGTAGTTCTTTTTGAATGAAATGCAATTATACCAGACTTAACAGTGTGTAAGTTTTGACGTAAGATGTCGATTTTGTTGAAATAAGGTCTTTTTAATTATATTGTAAGTTAACGTTATATATAAAACGATAAAACAGGGATAATAGTCGCAGATCAAGAAAATAGGCTTTTAATGTATAGATTTTAGGATTATTGCATTACTGTTGACAAAAATAATCTATTCCCGTTTATTTGTTATGCCAGTAAGAATGTTCTCTGTAATAAGTAGTAAAGCAAATATAAATATATTTACTTTTCTATAGTTGGATACAGCTGCGTCCGGTTCGACATATACATGCAACGAAGCGTGGGGTATTACGTCACACAAGTCTTTATTCCGAGTTATTTGATAGTGTTTCTATCTTGGGTGTCATTCTGGCTCGACATAGACGCCGTTCCTGCACGGATTTCTCTTGGGTTGCTCACAGTTCTTACTATGACAACGCAAAGCGCCGGTGCAAGAAATAATCTACCAAAGGTGTCTTATCTAAAAGGTACAGATAAGAAAACAAACTACCATTAATATTTCCGTAGCAAAGTAACAAGCACTCGTGTGCGCATAAACACCGTGCATGCCACTTGTTTATATTTGCACATACACCAATGCTAACATTATGCATGTTTTTAAGTGTTTTTGAACTTAAATAAACTATTCGTCATTTTCGTAATCGGCTGTCTCAGCTATATTTATACCTTATTAACATGGAAGAAAGAAAAGTAACATGATGATTATATAAGTATGTGTTTTCTTCTGGCTGAAGCTAGCTATTGGCAGAAACCATCATCGTACATGTATATTACGACAAATTTCATTTGGTCTGAAATATGCATACAATATTTTGTACTCTGGCAAATATTTTTTTGTTCATTTGATTGAAGTTTGATAAATAAACGTAGATATTTAGCGCATGACATATCTAACCCGAGGTCTCCCTCCACCAGTAAAGCTGGAGAGTAGCCTTAATGCCTTCAAACGTGTTAGTGTGTATTCAAACCCAACATATTACCGCATGTCATGAGATTCTCAAATACAGATTAACATATTTTCCAATTATACTGACTTAACTACATGTAGTCATGATCGGTTCTGTTATGTTTTACGCTGGTACAGCTCAAGTTAGAAGATGCAAGTTTTTCAAGCTGTTATGCCCAAAGTTTTATTTCTGCATTATTTTCAGGTATTGGGGAGGTTATAAACCTAACATGGTCTGATTCGTGTACCGGAATGTATAGCAAAAATGGCTATTGTGTTATATTTGATTTATTTTACACAAAATTGTTTCAGAATCGTCAACAATGTTAGGCCACTTGAATGGAAAAGGACAAAATCTGCTTCGATTGCTGCTTCATTACACATTACACGCCTTTTACAGACGTTTCTTCGTATTGAAATAACAATTGAATCATGAGAAATTGGTATCTTGTAATAGGAGGCAGATATTTCATTTAATAAGCAAAAAGATGATCTGACCTTTTAGTTCGTTGGTGATTTATGTAAAGAATTATCAGGTACCATTTGCACGACACCAGAACATTTTCTTAAGGCCTCAGAAGACTTTAGGTCTTAAATGAACACCAATTTTAGATAAGATGTACTATTTCCATGCAATATGAATCTTTGATTCAGACAATAATTCTATTTTGATTAAATCATAATGTTTCCTCCTAATCATTGCCCTGCAAGTCGATCCCTGCAGGATTTATACAATATCATTTCTTGCGTATATGAAATTATTAAACGATTGATACTATCTAATTAAGTAGATTGTTTAAGAGATAGACACTATATTCGGCTTTGAATAGCAGTAAGGAAATTACCACGCGCTTCTCAAATTAGTTGAATCATAGAACATTCTAAGCGTATTATAGACTTCTAGTGAATTTTCTTATCCCAGCATGGAAATTCCTAAACCATTTTTGTCTGAGTAATATAATTTTAGATTTGGACATCCTTTGGTGTTTTGTCAGCATCTTCTTCTACTTACCTCACTGCGATGTACATATTTCTGTCCGATGTGCTCTTGAATTTCATTTATTACGTACATTCTGTTAAAATTTGGCAATTTCTTCCTTGACAAAATTAGAGGTCTGTACAATAAGGAAAAAAAAGAAATGATCTCCTATCGTGCAAAAGTAGTATTTATTATTACAAATGCCGTCACACATGGACGTTTTTGTTTTTACTTCTTATTCTAATTGGTGCTGTACTTCTGTTTGTTTGTTTGCTTGGATTTTTACGGCACGTCAACACATAACTGGCCATATCGTGCCTGAAATATGAACAATCATCAAGGGAAAGCAACGTTTACTGAATGCATTCACATACACACTCTGCAGCCTACTGTCTTTTGAGGCTATTTCATTTTGTTATTTCATTTTTTTAATAATAGTGATTGTTAAAATGTATTGTCGTGAAAGAATTTACGATGTACAAGGGGCGTTGGATATTTTTTCTGATGCTAAAATTTAAGATTTGAAGTGTGTCCTCATATTTTTAAGTAAGTTTCATTTTTTTTAAAAGTATGTGCTAATAATTGATGATTTTTATCTATTAAAAAATGACATGTGCTTCTGTAAAGTGCCTTCATTTTTTATTTTTTCTTTATTTTTTGTCACCTCAGTCCATTGGTTGCAATACATTTAGTATTGAGAATCATTTTTTTATGGTTGATTAAATCAGAGTGGAGCATTTTGCCCTTTTCACTTTGTATCATAATAAACTCGATCAAAAATACTTTGCAATTGTTATATTTTATTTTATGCTAACCGGTTGTGGGACAAAATCTATATCACCAACAATACATCACCTACAGATATAGCTCTGGAGATTTTTTTTTATAATTCTGCAATTTTGCATAAAATATCACTCAGCAATAATGACTATAAACACGAAGTACTTTTGTTTTCACAAATTCGTGTAGACCTTTAATATCTTACCTCATTAGTTTTACGTGTGTCTTTCCTGTGTTTGTTTCAAAGAAAACGGTATTATTTGCTTTAATATTCTTATAAGACATGTTTGTTTGTTGATCGTGAGTATGCATCAAAATGAGAAAATATAAACATTTTCACTTGCGTTAAATGCTCTCCATAATATTGCGATTTTTTTACTTCTCAGCGTGATATATAGCATATTCACTACACAAACACATATCTTTTTTGTCTATATTTTTTGATATCTCAGCCTTAAAAATGTATCATTTTTCACAATTTCATATGGTTCAAAATTATTTATCAAACATTATTAAAGAATACAAAACGGACGGATTTAACAATAAAACAAAAGACAATGTACGCAATATAACGTACCGGTACACAATCTTCATACTTAGGATGTATGCATTCTTATTATCTTTATTTCAACAAAAATGTAAAAATATTTGTTGTTTTTAGCTATTGATGTATGGATGGCTGTCTGTTTGGGCTTCGTTTTCCTGGGCCTCGTTGAGTTTGCTTATGTGAATGTGTTATCCCGTGTTGAAAAGCGACGTAAGAAATCTACAATTGGAAGTATTGCCGTAGGCACAATGATGGCAGGTGTTGCTGCCAAAAATGCAGTTCATGCATCGCCCGGTGGATCTGAAAACAAAGAATCGGAAGATTCTAAAGTAACGCCCAATGTAAAGGTTTGTAATTCTTGAAATAAAACCGAAATTAACATACTGTGTTTTAAACTTAAATGGTTTTCAATGAGATTGTTGGACGTTTTCAGAATCTGTGAATTTGTGAATTACTGAAGATGTAGAACAATAACTTGTTTGCACCTGCTCATTCATTTATTTCGAAAATAATTATTTCAAGTGTGAAAAATGGCCTTAAAATGAAAAGCTGTTTAACACAACTCAGATAACATGAAGCTGAGAACCTCACAAACATACAATTTTCATTTTAGTACGTTTCTATATTATCTTTTCATATCTTAAAATTTAAGTGCACCAATTGAAATATGTAAAGTATGAGTAAGAGTATGTGTGAACTCATCATTTTGAGTATTATTTGATACATAAGTTTAAACCTACTCTAGTAAGATAAATTCATTATCGTATAAATATCACTTTAATCGTATAAATAGCAAATAACAGTTTCAAGCGTTTTATTATCTACATGGCACGATCATGATGATAATGATGATGATGATGATGTGCATTCAACTTGGAACAGACTTATCATCTATCAACTTGATGTTTGATCTTGTTATATATTTTCTAGCCAAATTTCCTCAGTGCTATGAAGAAAATGAAGACGGTAAATGCCGATCAAGAAAATGATGGAGAAACTGTACAAGAAGACATGCCAAATGAAAAGGTATCTGAAACTTACTTTAATTCATAATTACTGGTTTTATTCAACTTAAATAAATAGTAATATTTTTGTCCGGTAAACAAAGTCACATGCAAGTTAAAAAAAAGAAACATGTGTAAATTGTGGACATGATTATGCCCGTGTAATTATTACGCGACACCGGTATCCACTCTTACTTGTATTTAAGTAAAATCAGGAAAAAAAAACACAGTGTCAAAACGAATTTCCCCAGAATTGAAGCAATGCTGTAAATTTGATTAAAACCAAAACAATTAAGAAATTTTGTTAGTCTTAAACTTTTTTTTACTAAAGGAACATAATTATCTTAATTTTAACATTAGAGAAACCGTCGTGTTTTTTTTTTGGCGCTTCCTTTATATTTGATAGTTCCTCGTTTAGGTGTAATGTGTATGTGGGAGCTATTGTGTTAACTAAATAACCGTAATTTCAGAAATTTGAACTTCTTTTAATGTATATAATGGTACATAATTATAGCAGTCACTTTGCTCAAGTTCATAATATATTTTTGAAGAATGAATTATCTAGCATATAAAAGACATCATCAAAACGATAATCATTTTGAATTGTATTAATTTTGACATTTGTTTAATAGTTAAAAAATATGAAAAGTAGATTTTAATTAGTTTACACGAGGATGTTTTGTTTATCTAAAATATTTGTATATAAGAATATTGTTTATTTTGTCACTACTTTATCATGGCACATTTGTAGTTATAAATTGTTTCAAGAATATTTAAGATTAAATATCCCTTTATAAAGACATTGTCATCGGAGTATGTAGATTTCTCCAATCATCCTTCTATTTACTTTTTAGCATGTTGCCAACATTATCACAACACGTTATATCATTTGGAAAAAAAGTCTTATAAATATTTCAGCCAAACTTCCTGAAAGCTATGAAAAAGATGAATTCTGTAACTGATGATGAAGAAAATGTTGAACATGAAACTGAAGTAAACATAGAAAAAGAAAAGGTATTAACGCTTTTAAATGATCAGATGAACGGTTTGTAAATGAAAAGTAATTAGGAGTTTCATACAGCCGGAGAAATAAAAAGATCTGACAACAGTATGTCTATCATAGTAAGTTCTTAAAGAAGATTTAACGAAATCTTTTTTAAACCACCATATGTTAGAATACTAGCATATTTAAGTCCATTTTAACAATATTCTTTAAATTTCAGCCTACATTTATCAGCGCTATGAAGAAGATCAGTTTTACAAATGGTGACCAAGAGAAAGGTGAAGCGGGCCAACAAAATACATCAAAGGAAAAGGTAGCTTATTTTTGTTTGCGTTAATGTGTCCAAACAGTATAAAGTAAGCATTGGTTATTTAAGAACATATTGAACAGAAAAACTTTAATTTAACATATATAGTTTATATTGTTTATATAATTAGTTCGAACGTTAAATATATTTCAATTTTGTTGGGTTTTACGATACACCAGCACAGTAGCGTTCATATGGCGACTTCCCAGCTTTACCGCTGGTGCCCCTCCGTGTATTATTTAAGGCACGATCGAGCACCAAAGAACAATAACATGAATTTCGTAAACTAGCTGGAGAGTTTCCTCTCATGAATAATCCTGTAATCTCAGAAACTGACAGTACAATTTCATATCTCCAGAGGAACACCCCTTGGAAGGAAAATGGTTCGGTTTTAGCTTAGATGTTTTGGTCTCAGGAGGGGTAAAACTATTGTGAAGTCCTTGTTTTGGATGTTTCGAAATCGTTGTTGAAAGTTGATTCATGCTCTACAGAGGACCTTTCTGCTTCAGTTGCACTGTATATATATATATATATATATTATTTTTAAAACATAAATCCATGCTTTTCATGTTCTATACAGTTCAGTGACTGTTACTTAAAACTGCTATCAGCCAATAATGCAATCTTGCCTGAAGTATTGTTTCTCCGTACAAATTAATATTCTTTTTTTTTTATCTTTCAGTCGAAATTGCTCAATCGCATCAAGAACTTGGATATTCGAAGTGTTTTAAATGCAGACAGAGAAAAGGCTCGCAATGTAGACAGAATTTCTCGTGTATTATTCCCAATTATGTTTTTGACTTTCAATTTAGTTTTTTGGTTAACTTATATCTACTGGGAACCACAGAAAGACTAGAGGGACTAGTTATGCAAAAGGGAATACGGGACAAACACACATGGTTAAAGAGCGAAAAAAGGTGTTTAGAATTATAGGTTTGTTTGTCTTTTTGTTTGAACCCGTGACCTGTTGAAACAACATGATAAGCCTATGCCACCAGTATTCTAAAAGAACTTTCCCTGACATGCGTGTAATTTGGTCGTTTTTTGTAAATCCCCTTCCGCGTAGCATAAGATAATTTTCAAAAATGTAAACAAAGGGACATTTTTTATGATTGTTTGTTTTCATTATGTTTGTTATGTTTTTTAAGTTGTTGTTGTTTTTTTTTTAAACTACATGCCTCCAGATGTGGCAAACTATTTTAAGAAAATCAAACTTGATAAAAACTTATTAAACTTTTAAGACCAAAATTCAATTTAAACATTGTGTGTGATTAGTGACTAATTTTGCAGTATTTATCACCATGTTTCTACTGTGTGACGTACTTAGTAAGGATTATTTCTGGTAATTTACGTGTTGCAATGTGTTTATTTTTATTCAGAATATTTTACGTTTGTAGAATTTTCATGTCTGTAGAAGGCTTGCTGCTTTAAATGGTAACTTGCCCGAATTGTTTACGTTGAAATGATTTCTAACCGTACAATTTTTTGTATATTTATAATATTAAATACATGTACATTGTTATAAGTTTACATGCTGAATTTATTGCTATACAATTGTAAGACAATATATAACTAATTAAATTAAAATCGATCGAGGTCACCTTGTTTATTCATACAACGTTTTACAGTTATACTCTCAACACATTATTATACTTCCAATGTAATATATCTAATCGCAATATTATGAATACCATGTTACATATAATGAGTGCCAAATGATGAATTACCTGACCTTATTCTCCTAGCTAAATTATTATGGAACCATATTGTATACTTCTGGATGAAAAAGATGCACTAATCACCCAATAATATTAGTATAATGTAAACCTACATTTTGTGTGTGTGTTAAGCATGAACAAATGGTTTCAAAGTTATTGGAGTTATAGATTGTGCTTTGTTTTACAAACGTTAAGTACAATAACAACACTCGTGTTTTATGATGAGAATCATAATTTAAATATCTTTCCTGTACTTTTTGTTTTCTTATGATTTTGTATAACGTTTTGTGTATGTGTAATAAGTATTGTTACAGTTATAATAATTCACGAAAAAATTATAGCAATACAAAGAAGTTGTGTGTGCATTGTACTTAAAACCTTTCGATACATCCCAAATGTCACTCTCAAATGACTATATAGAAAAGTACATATTAATTAGATATGCCCAGATGTCAAGAAATTTTTTAATAATTGTTATAATTGTATGGTTTTTATTTCAGTCGAAAACAGTATACGAGTAGTTTTCAAATTGTGTAATATTAACTATATTTCAGACGAAGGAATCAATAGTGATGGCTGAATATTCATTTATTATTTCTTTTATTAATTAATTGATTTAATTTATATTCTATAAATACATTATGCAATTATGATAAATAAATGGCACTATAGCGTTGAATACCGGGCACTACAAATTAACAAAATTTAACTTTAGCCTATAATCGTTGACCAAAAAATAGTTGTCTATTAAATAAAAAACACATTAAATGTTAGTAATACAGTACTTAATCTATTCGGGACATTTCTGCGTTGTTATAATTTGTAAAAAAAAAAAGACTTTTGTTTTGATGGGTTTTACATCAAAACATCACAGTATTGGTCATATGGCGACTTTGCAGCTGTACTGGTTGGGGAAGAACTCAGTTGCCCCTCCGTGCATTATTTCAGGCACAAACGGGTACCTGATTAGAAACACTGACGTTCCTAAGTTAGCTTGACAGTTTTTTTAACATGAAATAATTCAAAGATGCTGGCAGATTGATCAGCAATGAAAGGCAATCGTTTTTAAGTCAACGACCTTAACCACTCGGCCACGGACGATACATTTCTAATTTGGCACGTATATACAGTAGTATCGAAATGTTGCTCTTAATCTCTTGATATTGTGTGTGACATTTATCAACTTGGTAGGGTATACTCTATGTTAACTAATGAAACGTCATTTTTCATTCTTACAAGAGCTAGATTGATGAAAGTTACCAGGATCAGCGAGCTTACATAACTAAACCATTGTTATATTATTACGCATGAACACTGGAGTGATCAATCACAAAAAAGATTCAAAATAAAATGTAACGAAGTGTTTACAAGCGGAACTGTACAAAATATGTCGTTACAACTTACATTTTTTGAACTATTTTGGACATTCAAAACAATTTGCCTAATATCTGAAACTTTAAGTCTTTGTTTAGAACAAATACATAACTTATAGTTAATTTTATTATATTCATTAAAGACCTTCTGAAGAAGCTCACTGAAATGGAAATGGAAGAAAAAGATCAAGAATGTATGTATATATATATTATATACAATATCCCGAAGACACTTGACCACCAACATGAACCAGTGCATCCATACATGCCAAGTGGTATACAAGAAATAAACACAACGTAAGAATTTGTAATTACCGTTTTGGCTCATCAACAAATCGTTTATAACAGGTATTATTAGGGTAATTAGGCAAATGCGTGCAAAATAGACCACGTATGAAAATAAGGAAATAATTGTATTCAAAGTAACAGTATAACTGATTTTTTTTGTTTTTTATTTTGTAGTTTGTTTATAGACATGTCTTTGAAAATGTTGAACTCCGATATCAATTAACTCAGACTTCAAAAGTGGTGAATGTCAATTAGATCTTTTTATTTCTTACGAAAATCTTCTGACAAACGATTTATAATTAAAATTATATCATAATGGAAGACGGCATCTTTTTAATGAACTTTAAAAATTACAATTACCAAATTGTTCCTCTGGGCATAAAATTGCATGATTTGCATTGGCATAATTGAGGATACGACAGGACTGGAATTATTTTTATAGATTTTTTATGCTATTTGATGAAAGTCTTTAAAAAACAACTTGTATGTGAAATTTCAAATCAATGTTATAAAAACTTGAAATACTTATTGTAAATGTGCCCATAGAAGACCAGTCCGCTTAAAAAGGTTTGCGTGAAATATAATATAAACCTATTTTTCAATGTGTATATATAACAGTCAACAGTATGTGCTGTTCTGTATTTTTTTATGAAAGCCAGCTCATCATTTATTATAGATAACTATTTCTTAGCATTACAAACGTACAAATATACTCCGTGTTATGAGAAAATGAGAAATGCCAAAGATTAACTACCAATCGTTTACGTTTAAGCAGCAGATATAAAACAAGATTGCATTTTCTGCGTGTGTTCGACTTAACAGATATGTTATAATAATAAGGTTAATGAGTTTATGAGTTGATAAGAATGTAGTCAACATAAGACGCTATGAAATTGCAGTAATTTACCTGGGATGTACTTTTCTCAAACAAGTTTACGATCACCTTTGTGTGTTACTGTGTCTAATACATGTTTGATAATAATAGCAAAGTCAATAAATTATCAATAAAGATAAAGATAAAGGTCTAGATTAGTACACGGAACCCTTGCGCACTGTACATATGAGATACATTTATATATATGTGCATACAAAGGTTGTCGCGTTTAGCCATGTACAGGTGCAAAGGCCTTTCCTCTTTACAAAAATCGTTCTGAGAACAAGTGTATTGTGTTTCCAAATACATTTGGTAGAATGGGTGAACTACTATTATATCACCTTGTGTAAACCCTCTTCTGAAACAATATATATGAATGACTACATCTTTCATGGTATCAACGACATTAACTAAACTAAATGTTGTAAATGAAAAAAAATATTGAGGGAGTTATAAATATTACAGACATAATAATTTTTATTTGAAAATGCAAAGGTGAGACGTTTTTCCTTGGGCAGTCTGTTAACGTGTTCCAATTACTGATTAATGTAGATATTTTCCGTCTGTTTACAGTGTAAAACAATCATAATCATATAATAGTAGTCATTGTTTCTTTGTGCTCTCCTCTAACTTCATGTGTGTCCACTTTTAACATAATAGGAGACAAATATTAATGCAATTTCTTACATAAAATCCCACCAGGAAACACTTTTATCCGTGAATAATTAGTGATAGATAGATAAGTGGAAACAGAAAAACAGTAAAACGAACATATAAACGCTTGAATTAACATTTGCTACAAACTCCCTTTATGTTTTCTGGCAGATTCTTGTCAAGTCATTTAACAATCTGAATTACATGCATTTCGCCACAAAATCCAGTGTCACGCGGGGGGAACCGTTCTAATTGTGTCTCTTAGAAGCGAAATGCATTGTTTCAAAATAATAGACGGTTAAAACAGATGAAATATCAAGCCATATGAGCACTTGTATAATACGTTATGATCTTTGCAAGTCAGTCGATCATGAAGTATATTGTTATTTTGATAAATCATGTCACATGGATTCGGAAAAGAGAAACAACGTAAATAAGCTTACGGAGATATCCACCTCTTCACAAGGATATAGTTGATTTAATTAAAAAAAAAAATATTTGATCAGGTTCTTTGTTGGTGGTTCATTTCAGCTATTTCTGTTGCAAACAATTTTGTTTAATCATTCGATATGACGTAGGGAAAGACAACCATCATGTAAGTAAAATTTGAAAATGCAAATACAGTGGAAATCCGAAATCAAACTCTCTTCTATAGAAACGCTGAAATATAAGAATAAAAATTATAACAAGGTACTTACAAACATATATTTTTAAGACAATGGGAGGAATACCATTTGAAAAAACAATTTACTGTCGCAACAATTTTTTTTTTCAATGTATCATTTTTACAAAATATCAGCCAAAGAATGCACATATAGGAAACATATACTTTTACCATATCTAAAATTCACGAAAATTTATTATTTTCTCTACGCAGAGTGCAGACTGCGGCACTTTAAAATATGTTACTTTTCGCTGTTCATCTTTGGATATATAGATCTAATTCACGTTAAATTAATTATATGAATTGATATTGTTAGAAAAACACATGAAACTGTAATCTTTGTATACAAAAATGTGTATACATCATATGCCTTGATAGAGGTTATATCCGCACTATTTGTTTTGCTGTTACCAGCATCTCATATTTGAAAAGCATTAACAGAAAAGTGTAAAAGTCTTCCAAAGAATTTTGGTTTATGTATACATTGACAACAAGTGGATTATTACTGTTTTCATTAACATCAAGTTTAAAGCTAAAACCATTATACAATACGCTTGTTCTGAGACTTTTATCTAATGCCTTATTCACGTATAATTCCAAACATGCAAACATGCATTTGAATTATTGATTGCCGCACTTAAGCACTTATTCTGCCAAAACAACTCTAAACGTAATCATGCATTTGCATTTCTAATCTGTGCATTAATAAAACGTCAATTTCCTCTCATTTCTTGACAACGGCAACGCAAATTTGATGCAATCAATAGTATTTTCCATATTCTGAATAAATCATGTTTTTTACGTAATAATATGTTCTAGAAATACTAGAAAGTCGCTTACTTATATGCATAAAAGGTTTAGTTTATACGATTTATAATCTTAGGTGAAAGTGGACAAAGACAAAATAATATTTCAGTAAAAAAACTGTATCTTTTCCTAAAGACATCGATATAGAAGAAGTATGGTGACATTCCAGTACACACAAAAATTCATATTTGCTTTCGAAATAGAGTAATTACTTTCAATCTCTCACATTCCTGAACATATTTTTTCATGTATTCTATATGTGGCGTTCTAAACGACAATGTCACGTGATTCTGTTTTATGCTAAAATTAAAAGTTTTATCAATCTTTGATTTTTTTCCAGTTCATTTTATTAAATATTTGCACTCGAAGGGGCACCTGAAGTCTTCCTTCTCAAGGAAAGCTGGAAAGTCGCCTTATGACATTTGCAGTGTTGGTGCGACATATAATCAAACTAAAACAACAACAACAACAAAAACACACACACAATGATAATAATAATAATGAAAATGGTAATAATAGATTAATAAATATATCATATCTTAATGTATCTATTCCCTAAAATCACCCTTTATCGGTTATTCATTCAATGCAAATATTGGATATTAGCTCAGTTGAAATTATTATATTGCAAGTTAAAATGATATGGAAACGAATATTGAAGTAAAGAGAATTACAGTGACAGACAATGTGAGAGTTCTTACGTAACGGTTTAAATGCGTTCAAAATGAACCTTTGGTGCATTTACAATAATTTATGTATTTAATTTAACGGCTGAAATTCGCACAAAATGAACGGCTTGATATATATTTCTTTGTTATGAAACAACGATAGCTTGTGTCATGAAGTGCATTCTTTTTTTTTAATTTTCTAAGTTTGAGATAAAGCTTTTATTTCAGAGTTTGTATTTGACTGTCGAAAGTTTCAAAGGATAAAAAGGTCAAATAATGTTACTGACATTGTAATATGATCATATTTCCATCGGTATCGACTTTCAGATCATGGAGTATAAGTGACATACAGCAATACAAAGTAATAATTTATATATGTCCACATTCAAGACACTTACTCATGGAGTTAATTACAAAATGAGTCAATTTATAATGGAATGAGATGGAATGAATATTGGTCGGAGGAGTCACCAACGACATTTGATATTTGTACAGTTGGACACTAACTGGACGGAAGGCTTGAATATTGTCGGTGCGTTGAGCAAACTATATTTTGAACAAGTTTAAAAAACCAAGAATAAATAAGCGTTAATAAAACAATGCTTAGAGTTAAATATATATGGCTGGCAATTACAGGTTCTGCCTGTTTGTCAGTAATTGAAGGTTTACAAAATGGAACACACACGGATCAAAGTTTTCGGTAAGTGATATATACATTAAACACTATAGATTTATACCAACATTAATTTTGTGGATTTAACAACACAGCAATATTCAATCAAATTTATTAATTACCATAAATATTAAAGCCAATGAGGATAAAATTTGAATTAGAAAATAAGTATTGTCAAATATAATCAAATTTATTAAAATTTACGAAAAGTAACTAATAAAATATAGTTTATACATACACGTAAATTGAATAAATATGTGTCTGATTGATTGGATTTTTGCTTTAAACGTTTTTCTTTCTTTCTTATTTTCATGCAACTTTCAAATTAAGTACAACGCATATAGGTCAGTCGTTATTTACTGTCTAGAAAGGTAATTACTAATATGTAAAAAAAAAACAGAATATAAATTTCAATAAATTGTTTTGTATTTGTTTAATAGTATGACAAGAACATTACAAATATTTTTCTTTTTAATTGGAGCGAAAAAAATTTCAATATTCTTTTATGATAATAAGTCTATGTTTTTCATAAAGGGGTATGTCTTTTTATCTTAGTAATAAATATGTTTTGTTTAAATACAACATTTGCGTTACTTGTTTTTTTTTTATAGAAATATGATACACACATAGTTGCCCATTTAGGTGAATGTTGAATTAATATAATTATATACAATATGTTGGCGATCTGTAAGTTGAAGGCTATTTCTTTTAGAAAATAGCATTACTTATGGAAGATTGACATGTATTTTTACCATTTTCGTCCTTTTTGTAAATCTAATGTGTCTACAAAGCAGTGATTTAATAACGTGAAATCTATAAAGGTCTCCCATATTTTATACAGTCAAATGAGCTGAAATTATTTTTGCTTCTGACAGAGTAACATGCAATGAGACGGATCCAAACCCGTATTGGAGCTGCAGGTATTCGAACTTACTTATCTCACTTAATAAAAACAAGACTCTCAGAAGCAGAAACTAAGAATTCAATGCTTAAATGATTGAAATAATTGAATAATAATATGGAAATAATTGAATAATGATATGGAAATAATTGAATAATAATATGGAAATAATTGAATAATAATATGGAAATAATTGAATAATTGAAAAATTTGAATAATTGAAAAGGCTCCGTTTAAAGACATTGATCCTTAATTTGTATTTTAGTCTTTAAAAAAGATATAAAGACAGAATATTTATCCATTATTTATGTAAATGATTTGAAATTATTGAACGGTCATTGCATTTGCTAAAAGCTGTTATTGATAAAGATGAATGAATGGTTTTTGGTAAATATTTATTTAGTTCTTGGTGAGCGTATGTCAGGGGGAAATATCACATTTTTTTCGTTTGTATTCGTTATCTACGTTTTTCTATTTTATCTTTGAATCAATCGTTAAAACATAAATTACACCATAGAATAATAATTAATGTCATAACACAACTATGAGAGAGACAAGGGAATGCAAGGGCATATATTTCTTACCTTACAATCCCAAATAAAATAATTTCAATGCAACTTTTTGTGCATTTCATTTGATCGTCTTTATTCCTTGATGAAACTTCTCATGATATCTTTATTAGTTTTATAGGAAGCAATCTATAACAAGTTCTTTTTTTTTCAAGAGAATATAAATCATATTGAAAAAAAATTCATTTCATTTCAAACTTCATTTCAGGAAGACGCTCATTAAAGATTTGTTTTCCAACTACGACAGCAGACTGGCACCGAATCCAAAAGATGGTTTGTATTAGCTTTAATCCAATATGAATAAACATTTATTGTTTAAACTTTATTTCATATCTTAATATATTTCCCATATTTTTTTAATCTTGAAGCAGTGTTTTGAAGTTAGCTTTAAATCGATATTGTGACGTCAATTTAAAGTGATGTACCAGAAGTTACAGTGATGGTTTAACATTGACATTCACTGATCAATTCTGTAAGAGCTAACCGCTTTGTTTATGTGCATCATTATTGCTATCGTTCTAATTTTAACAGTTTTGGTCATTCATGTAACCCAGCGGTAGTTTAACATAACACATATGCTTTTCTGGACAACTAAACAATAATTACCAATTTCACCGCAAATGGTCGAATTCTTATTCCACATAATTTCTGAATAAGCCATTAGAGACAAAATAAATGACAATTAAACTCAATATATGAGATCATTTGTTTCGGAGAAGTTACACCTAGCCTGAGGATCGGACCAGCGACCCATTGTTTACTTATCCGTTTAGCTCCTTTCGGTTTACGCTGGCGGACTTGGGTGTAAAAATAACAATATGTGGTGGCAAAACCACTAAATATTTTTCTGTTTAACCCTTATATTATTCATATTATTATATTATGAAGTTGTTGTTTCACTGCTTCCGAGGGATCACTCATTATCCTAAAAACAGAAGGTGTCAAGTTCCGCATGGCAGCTTTAAAGAGTTGTCCCGTACTTCGCTTCTTTGTTGTTAACTTTTTCTGGTCAGTAACGTTAAACATTTTGATTATTTCCGTGTTTTCTACCAGTCATATTTGTGAATATTTGAAAAATGTGAGTTTTGAACTTGGAAACAAATGGATTCACTCTATACCCGGATGACTTCTAATTTTATCTTGATGATCAAACCGGTCCTCTATCAGAACGAGTCACTTCATGAATGTACATATTCATCACCATCAATTTACCAGAGTAACCAAATAGTTTATATACTATCAAAAGAGGATATAATTAATTACTATTTCCCGGTCATGCACTCCCTTGGGACTAACTATGCCCCATTATTTACACCAACAAATTATGATGAGCCGATCTCGAGAAAAACGTGCAGAATCAGATATTCGATACAACTCGGACATTATCCTTCCCGACAAACAGATTGTAATATAGATAATGATATCAAAAGAGTACATCCTTGATTGGAATGAACTGTATCGATGCTGGCAATGTTTTGGGATATTTTTTTATTGTATTTCAGTATGTTTATATTTTGTAAATGTATCACAAATCAGCTAATGGATATCATATGACAGAGTGACATTAGTACTGATTGACCTTCTTAAAATTCCAGTCAATGAACTTTGTTTCTATACTATGAGAATCGATAGTCCCGTAGCTTGTCAGATAGAAAAAATCATCTGATAGATAAATGGAAGGATAGACGGACGGAGGCGAACGAACAGACGGACGAACGAATAAACGCACGAAGCAACGAACGAACGAGTGAATGAATGAATGAGCAACAAAAAGATGCTCAAAACATTTTATGAAAAGAGGTAACGAGTCCAAAATTACCTGATAGTATCCCAAGTCAACGGAGAGTAAGTCTATCGCAATAAATTTAAAATTGTCATTATTTGTGTAATGTTAATATACCAACCGAATTTAAGCTACTTGTAGTGATAAGTAAACTTTAGATTGCTGTCGTCACTGCATTAATCTGTCATTGCGAGTGCCGGTTAAGCCCATCTCACACAGGACACACGGCTTACACGGTTGGCCACCCGTGTAAACCGTACATACAACCGAACTAACCGTAGCGTTATCCGAGTTACACTCGGGCCATTCGAGTGTATCCGTGTAAGCCGTGTATGATTTTTAAAACTTTTAAAAAACTGGTACGGATGCTATGTCCGTGTATGACCGTATAAGCGCCCGTACAAGACCGTAAGAGACCGTGTGAGACCGCATGAGACCGTATATACAGCCGTATGTGAAGTCCACTCCACGAGTGAGCCCAGCCGTATCTATGTCGTATATAAATCGTATGGAATCGTTCGAGACCGTCCCCAAGTCCTACATCCAACACCCGATTAACACCCGAATGTCACAAGATCACGGTACGATTCAAACGAGTGCACACACGGTTTCTTACGATCGCCATACGACCAATACGATTCATATACGAAACATACATGGCCGACACGCTAAAGTACGGGTATACAGGGTCTCACACGGCCTCGTACGTTCTAACAGGGCCTCAGCAAGAACGTTACAAAAACACAACTAACTGCTGCCACTCTACCAAGAGTACTTGCTGCATCACACTAGAATGTATCCAAAGAAGAAGGTTTGGACGCATAGAAGGAATACAAGAAAAGCCATCCAGGCCCACCGACCACTCCAACTTATTGACTCTGATAAGCTGGAGGACCAACCGACAATAACCATGTCTCCCAGGGATTCAAACTCCAATGCCAGCTCGGTGGACCCTCCAGCAACCGCTGCACCACAGAAAAAAGACACATTCATTTTACATTTCTTCACCTTTTTATTCATTTATTGATGTTAATGATCTATATATAGGTTTTCTTCGTTGAAATTTCGAAAATTCATGAAGCAAAGTCATCAAAATGGGTTAATTTATATCAAAACATACACAAATGTGTGATATTTCGAGCCTAACTCGAACAAAAGTCGGCGGGACCCTATGTAAACCCTGTGAAAGTCGAGTAAATCGAGTATAAGTCGTGTTTAACCGTACCAGACCGTACTAGACCGTACTTGGAACCGTACAACAGTCGTATGTATTCGTATGCAAATCGGTGTTCAAACCTTGCTTGACCGAGTAATTCCGTGCTCAATTCGTACATACTCGTGCTATATTCGAGTCTTATTCGTGACAACTAATCCACAAGCACGACTGGAGCTCAAAACTCGTACAAGTCAACCCGTGTATAACCGAGTATACCGTATAAGAATCGTGTGTCCAACCGTGTTTTGTGTGAGACGGGCTTAATACGGTGAGGGAACTTTGCAATAAGTATAAAGACTCTTGCCCAAGAATATTACTTCCTGCTCCTGACGTGATTTTAACCACCGCAGCCAGTAATCCGAAGATTCCGACTTTTTTGATAAAAACTGCTTGATATTACAACAGTTACTATGAAAAACACTTTATCCTGCTGGGACCGAAATGAGTTAACAAGTATATAACCAAGCCAGGCTAATCATACGTGCAATCCGGATCAGGCTTAGTACTGTTGGTTAACTTTTTAGATATGTATCTTTACATTTCTTTATTTTTCTGATATTTGCAGATTGATAATCGACAGTTCCAGGTACCTGACAGTTCTAAGCATGGAAGCTTGAATAGTTCATTTCACAATGCTGAAATTTAATATTTGAAATTATCACACACCCGTGCCGATTTTGCGACTCCGTAAAAATGGTATTGCACGGCCGTGCATATATTTTGACGTGACGTCATTAGCGTAAAGACGCGCTAAATGTTAGCGTTATACTATAGGCGCGTCAATGAAAAATGACTCTTATTTCACTTTAAACGGTATTTATTTTGGGTATGTGATAAATAGAATATTAAATTCGTGTAAGTTCATTACTGAATTTGATGCACTCGTTGAATAAAATAATATTATGCGAGCCTCTGGCGAGCATAATATAATTTTATTCAACGAGTGCAATAAATTCAGTAATGAACTTACACGAATTTATTGCACTCGTTGAATAAAATAATATTATGCGAGCCTCTGGCGAGCATAATATAATTTTATTCAACGAGTGCAATAAATTCAGTATTGAACTTACACTCATTCAATATCCTCTATATATTGATAATTGCAATATCTGTAAATATAAAATAAACATGTTTACACGAAGTAGATATGTTCTGCTTTAAATCCTATATACAACATGTATAAAGGTGAACACACTATGCATATGTAGTGTCATTAACAAATAGCAGCTTTTTTAACAAAGGACAAGTTCTACTTGAACCATAATAAGGAACGCAGATTCCAATACAAAGTGAGCACGCTCTTTTATTTTAAATAAGACATATGCATTAAGCATTTCATAGATTTCAATAAATTTACTAGAAAATAAGCATAGTATATATTTAATTCAGCGGGTTCAGGATTACGCTTGGAAATCTATAAGTCTTATCAATGTAAACAATGTCGGCTCCCAAAGTTGAATCTTTTTTTTTCTCTTGCAGGTCATCACATTTTACTCTTTTTGTTACAAGTTCCGAATGTCCAATGTACAAAGTCAAATGCGTAATTTGACAAAAATGCCCCCAGATCAATATTTGCAAAGTGTGAAAATAAATATCCATATCGAACGTATAAATAACGTTTATGTTTTGCAGAAATTAGATAATTCTATTATATACATGAAATGAAAAGTAGAAAAATGTCCAAACTCAAGATTTCCCTATAAATTAAATACGAACTTTTTAATGTTTCATAGCGAACTGAAAAAGAATGATAAGTGATACCCCGTTTGGTTTGCATAACTATAGCAGTATATATTCTAATTAGATTGAAGTATAAAGTAAGGGGCCTCCGTGGCCGAGTGGTTAAAGTCTTTGACTTGAGATCACAGGTCCCTCACCACTGTAGGTTCGATCCTCACTCGGGTCGAAATCTTTCATGTGAGGAAGCCATCCAGCTGGCTTACGGAAGGTCGGTGGTTCTACCCAGGTGCCCGCTCGTGCCTGAAATAATGCCCGGAGGGGCACCTGGGGTCTTCCTCCACCAATAAAGCTGGAAAAAATCGACGAAAAATCTCGGCGGGACGCTCTAGGATGACCCGACTTGAGTGTATGGTCGCCCATATGGGCTTTCCGGCGGCGACCTTAAATAAACGCATCAAAAAAAAAAAAGTATAAAGTAACGTCCTTATTAATAAGAATAAGAGAAGGCATAATTTAAAAGACTGCCCTTTTTGTAGAGGCGGACATCTCTTTGTCCCTTTCTCGTATGAGAAGGGGAAATTAGTGATGCGTGTATGTGTCGCACGGTCACACTTCCTCCAACCTGTCCTCGATGCGTGTATGTGGTCGCACGGTCGAAAGTCTCTAACAAATAAGATTAAATACAAAAAGCTTAGGTGTCCTAGTGTATAGTAATATTATAGGACTATGTTACTCTCAGATATAACTTTACAAGATTGTTTGACTTTAAATTATTAGGAATTTTCAAAACTTAATAAGTAAATATGAAGTTGTCATATCCTAATTGAGATGATAAATAAAACCCTAAGTACTTAAACAAAATACTAATTAGGATTTTACTTATCTTAATAAATACTTTTATTTCATTTTTTAATAACGGCATACAAAGTCCAAATAACAGTATTCCGTTCTAATAATGAATTAATACTCTTTATTAGTCTGTAATTTCTCCCAAAACCCTTTTAAAAACTCATTAATGAGAATAATACAATTCTAATAAGGCTTCTTTCTCCTAATTAGGAAAATCAAAGTCCTCATGAAAAATATTTATAAGCAGATTTTCTAAAAAAAAAACCAATAAGTATGAGTGTGTAAATGGGACTCATAATAATGATAATCATGAGGGTATAATCTGATCTTTTAGATTTAAATCCATGTAAGCAGTCTTTCTCGTTTTACATGCGTTGCATTTAAAAAACTTAATTGGAACCAACTCATCTAACTCATTATTGGAGTACCCAGTAAGGACTAACTCCAAGCACAATTCTCGCCTACTTTTACACCTTTTTTTACAGTATAAAAACAAATCAGGTACGTGTTTACCAATGTCTTGTTAAGTACTTGTATCCGATTTCATACCGAGATATTATCACGTTGATGACCTATCAGTAGTTATCAGTGCTTTTTAGATTTCTGACATCACAGCAGCAATCTGTCATCGCTGGCGCCGGTTATACGGTGTGTATTAGGAGACGCTAACATTTTACTGGTTGCAATTTTAAATATGCTTCAAGATCAAATATATATTTTGTAGGTGGTTCAACAAACGTGTCAGTCCAAATACTTATCACCAGTATCGACACAATAAGTGAAACAAATATGGTAAGCAACAATATTTCACTTGAACGATGAACAAGAAAAGACTGTTACTTTAACAACAAACAATTGATCGTTTTATTTCAAATTATACGGTGTACCGTTAGGGTCATCGCGACACACACATAACTGTATACTACGATAGTGAAATGTCGAGATAACGAGACCACGATGCCACAACATAACTCGAAGACACGATAATACGATGGTAAAAAATCAAAACAATTAAACCACAATGGTAAGAAGTCGAAGGTACGATGATGAAAAGTCGAAATTGTAATGGTTAAAAGTTATGTGTATATGTGTTGCGATGACCCTAACGAGACACTGAGAAACAAGCTGAGTGATTTAATGTGTTCAATTGATAATACGATCGGTTCAGTTTTACTTAAAGATTTTACTTTTAATATTCTTTAGATTTCCAAAATATGTTGCCTAATTAGATACATTCTGACCAAACTGATCGTTGCACCCTGTATATTGTACAATAACAGGTTAACTCTATATATAGTTTAATAGGAGTGAACCGAAACCAAAATGACGATATTATACTTTTTTTAGTCTATGAACAAATCATATTCACAATTCAGCAAATTGTGAGCATTTATTGTTTAATTGTCATTTTATATTCTTTTTAATTACTTTCAGGACTTTTCAATAAGTATATTTCTGAGACAAAAGTGGATGGATTCTAGATTAGTTTATAAACCTAGTTCAGGTATGGTAGCCGCCAGAAAAAATAACTAAATATAGATGAATTAATATATTAACTAAAATAAATGTAGGCTATTTACGATTATATACATTTAGATTCTGTCAGAAAACATTTGCACCTTGAAACTATCGAACCAAGATTGCTATAAGATTATAATATTATTTTCTGAAATTATAATTTAACCACTAAGAAAGCAATACTGTTTCAGGCAAAGAAAACATTCAATTTGGTGTTATGAATGTTTTTCATAACTATACAATTTGAAAAAATAGGATAAAGCGCTTATTTTCAGCCACATCTTTTACAATTCCACATGCATAATATAATTGGGAGATGAAGTTTTCATTTATCAAAGGTTGAGGTATCTGGGCAGTCAGACAGGGACTCGAGCCTTTGTCTTCAGACTAAGCTGCCCCGAACACTGCCACTTTCCCCCCTTAAAGTGAATGGTTTTATACAGTGATATTTGTCCGGGGGCACCCTCTACCAAGCGGGCTACTTGTCCTCTCCGACAAATTAACGTTATTATTAGTGTTAAGCTATTTCACTGTGAATTTTAATAACGTTTTGAACTGTAATGAATTTTTATATTTCCATATTTAGCCATGCGATCATTAGAACTGGACGCCAGTTCAATATCGAAGGTTTGGATACCTGACTTGTACATTCCTTCTGAGAAAAGCGCAATCGTGCATCACGTGACCGTTCCTAATAAGCTTATGCACGTGTTTCCGGATGGGAAAATACAGTATAGTTTAAGGTAATTTGCTTCTTTTAGTATATTTCATCACAACATAACGTTTATATTTTTCCCTTGCCAATGTCAACTTGAAAGACCTCAACTATTTAAGAAAACCGTCCAATTCTAATTTTGCCTTTTAAAAAAAAGTATAATTGTTTCCTGCAAATAAATATTGTACGAAACAGAGAGAAAATGTTGGGATTTTTAGCATCATATTGTGGGTACATGTACCCTTACTTTACGTACAAAACTATCTTCTTTTGCATTTTAAGAAGGTACTGTTATAATATCCTGGTAGTTCATGAACTTTTTGACAGCCAAAAAAAAATCATAATAACTAAGCGCGTATTTAAAAAAGGCAATTGCTAAACTTCTCAAAAGCAAGCAAATACTAGTATTCCACTTTTTTAATAATTATAACATGTACAGTTTCGTGTCTATTCTGGTAAAATTATGCATCAAGATAATATTAAATGACTGTTACAGTTATCCTATTCTGGGCGTTTGATAATGTGAACGCCCATTATGTATAATTATTCTTGCTAGTACATAATAAATAATCATCTTCTATACGTTTATATTTCTTAATTTAGTTCTTAAAGACAGTCAAATACAATTATTCTACTCCGCTCCGTCAGTTTCCATTACCTAGCTGCTTGTAAAGACAAAAGAAAGATATATTTACAACAAATAATGCACCAAATATTTAAAAGAAATACATTCTTTCATTGTTAAAATAAAGGCATGTATCTACTTTTAGTTATGCATCAAATTTTACAGGATTTCGGCGACTATCAAGTGCAACTTTGACCTACGAAAGTTTCCGTTGGATTTACAACACTGTTTTGTAGAAATGGAAAGCTGTAAGTGAATAATATCAAAAACTAAAAAACCATTTACAAAATAATGTACAAACCTAAAATCATATGAGTATATACTAATTTCCATCTACATGTACCATGTTTCTAATATATATATTATCAGTTCACCTAATTTGTACTTTAAAGCTAAGGTTTCATGTTTATGTTAGATAGTTACTCTACATGTACATTGTGTGCTTGCAATGCGCAGGTGCACAGTTTATTTAATAACTGAACAAATATAAGATGAAGTGTTTTTTTGTATTTGTTTTTATTTTGGGCTTTTTTAACATTTTACAAAAACGGTCGAATAGGATATGATCAAATAAACCTACATAAGAACGCTTTAAACCTTTACAACATTTTCGTTAACTGTATAAATAGCAATTCATGTAAGCTATCATTTTGATTAATGGAAAAATTCATCTTCCGACAAACTGCTGTCGAATTAGTTACAAAAAAGCTTCTATCAAACCAAATATGATACAATTTATATATGAACTCACATTTTATTATAACTAGTAGCATCCATATCTTGAATACCGGTATATTTTTATATATTTATAGACGGGTATACTACTGACACACTAAGGTTTGAATGGGATAAAACACCCATTAACATAGACAAAAGTATGCAAATCCCGCAAATTCTTCCTTTTTTTTTGTTTCCCTCTTCTTTTTTTTTTTTTTTTTATTTCCTCCTTTTTTTTTTTTTCCCTTACTGCAGGGAACTAAAACGACAGGGCAGTGCGATAAAGAGTACTTTGAAGGTATTTGATTTGTTTAATAGTATTTTATATAACTTTAAACTGAGTCGAGTAAATAATACTTTAAACAGTCGAGTAAAATTATAAACTGAGTCGACATGGTCGAGTAAATAATACTTTAAACAGTCGAGTAAACAATACTTAAAATATAGATTTCTTATTTTCTAGCTTAATAGGAACATTGTGAATATTATCAATCAAGTTTTTTAAAGGGACACAACTTGTGTAATAATTGGATAATAATGTAAGCTACGTTTATGCACAGTTTCTTCCCTTGTTTATATTTTGAATCGTACATCTGTGCAATTGTTTGTATACTGTTTATAAGATAAAAGGCAACTAAAAATTTTTACACGTTCATTTTCGAGTAGCTTGAGGTTTTTTTTTGTAAAAAGACAGCAGTAGTATATATACTTATTTGAAGGATATCAAACTGCACCTCTTTAATCTTAAATAGGAAAAGCAGAATGTCGACTTTAAAATGATCGCCAGCATGTAATTCATCACATTCATCGGCATTTCTTTTCGCGTATAACAATACGCACCCAAATAGGATATAACCTGTGACATTTTCAGAGTATAACTATGATAATTTATAAACAATATCAAGTATTTCCACTTTTCTTAACAGTCGGGTTCTCGTGCGTCAGATTTGATTTCTGGATGAAAAGAAGCGTCGGTTATTACGTCACACAAGTCTTTATTCCAAGTTTTCTGATAGTATTTCTATCATGGGTGTCATTCTGGCTCGACATAGACGCCGTTCCTGCACGGATTTCTCTTGGTTTGCTCACCGTCCTAACAATGACCACGCAAAGCGCAGGTGCAAGAAATAATTTACCGAAAGTTTCCTATCTGAAAGGTAATCATTTCTAGAAATGTCCATTCAATGGGTTTGTTGTCTGACTTTGTTTCATATTGTATGTGGATAAAGTGAAAACATTAATTCTGTGTCTGTCAACATATAATACTTTTCGGGAATTATGTCCTTCGATTTATGACGGAATTATAAAATTTAACGAGTAAAATCAATTATGATAGCAGTGTGCTATATCGCATTTTCGCTCCGTGGGGTGCCAGGCGAAAACACGACAAAGTAAACATTTTGTCGTACTTTCGTTCTGCGGGACGCAAGGCGAAAACACAAATATACGAAACAGTATTTACGCCCTGTGGTACAAAAGTGCGACAAAGTGGTGTCGTATGTTTGTGTTTCCGCCTGGAGTCCCGCGGAGCGAAAGTACGACACGATTTTGACTTTGTTGTATTTTTTCCGGCTCCCCATGGAATGGCACAAATCAGTCACAATATGAAAGTAATGCTATTTGCTATTGTATGTTCAACAAATGATTAATTAAATACGTAGAAACAGATTGAGAAACATTAAGACTGCTTTCACCAAGAGAAGCTTTGCTAAATTTCAAATGTATCCTTCAGCGATGTTTATATAAGCGATTAATCAAAAATTCGCATTATATATTCGGCAATGTTATACATTATACATTATTGTATACACAGTGGCCAAATATGACAAATGACATAACAAAGTTTTCTTCATATATGTAGTAAGTAGAGCATATTTTACAGGCAAACATTGTTTTTAACTTGGGCGGTATAACTTAATATTTTGTACTCACTACTCAAGGTATTGCAATCATTACCAAGTCCCTTCGGCTTTAATTTTTTAAGTGCTAAAATCTGTTAAAGTAATCATGAATATTCACAATTTTAAATAAATTGGCACTTTTTCTGAATTAGCCATAGATGTCTGGATGGCAGTGTGTCTCGGGTTTGTGTTCCTTGCTTTGGTGCAATTTGCCTATGTTAATGTACTGTCCCGAGTTGAGAAAAGGCGGAAGCTGACCACGCACGAAAATATCCCAGTGGATTCCGTAGCCTCGGAGGCTGACGTGGATAAACTGACACCTAGCTCCTCACATGACGCCGGATTGACGTCACATGACAACTTTCAGAAGGAAATGATTAAGGTATATGTGAAAAGTATCTGTAATAAGTATCTGCTTTCAAATACAATATTGAGATCATTTGATTACATGGCATTGTTTTTTTTCACTCCTTTAGATCTACTACTGTAACTAACTACATAAATAAAATACATTTTATACATTTAAAAAAATGAGCAGTATATGCATCAGTTGAGCACACGATTATTTTAATTTTCAATTACAGCTTAAAATTCCTGGTTACCTAAAGCAGCTTGATTTCCGCAGGATAATGAAAGAAGACCGGGAGAAAGCCAGGAATGTTGACAGGGTATCCCGAATACTGTTTCCGGTAGCGTTCCTCATATTCAACATTGTGTACTGGTTTACATACGTGTTTTGGGAACCAAAGGCGATCGACGGAAATTAGGTCAGCCATTTTGTTATCAACTTTGACGTCACATATTTGTTACAGCGACATACAGCGGATATTTCTTTGAAGGAGAATAGTGAGACTTACATCAAAATTAGCTAGTTATTTACAAGTATGCATCTGAATGGGTTTTTTAAATTGATATTCAATTTAGAATTGAATGTACGCAAACAACACATTCACGTAACGTCGCTACTCTGACGAAAAACGCTAATATGCGTGTTTGAGTTATTTACATTTTGAATATTCTCCATTTGTGTAATTATACTGCAAGGTTTATATGCGTGTTGTGATCGTTTTATTTTATATAAAATTTAATTTAGTTTGATTGTGTAGAATGCTAAAAACTTATAAGACACTTTCTGTGATCTGTTTATGGCTTTGGGGATTGCTGGCTACATCAGTTCAAATCTGGCAAAGGTCAAGTCGTTGTTTCCTTCAGCAAGAAGCTTTCCCTAAATGGTTACTACTGTTAAGTAACAATGATGTATATATATTGTTTGATTGGTTTAAGCATTTATTGTATCATAGTTTGGGAACCTTTCTGTTGAAAATGTGTCAAGGATAATCGTATACATATACATGCACAGTGCGTTAACTGGAGTGCAGGTATTAGTTACCCGCACTCCAGAGCATGTCCATTGATTGGCTGATTTTTGCTGGGGTTTACTTATTGTGACGGCAGAGAAAGGGAAAGCGGTTAAAATATAATATTCAGATGCTCGTTCATTGGTTCCATTTTTCTGGGGTTTCATATTGTGACAACAGGGAACGTGTTTTCATGTTTGACTATGATACAAAAGAGAAAGAACATCAAAACACTCGGCAATCTCCGTCCCCTCGCACAAATCAGATAGCCTCGTGTTTCGATGCTCGTTCTATTACTTATTTAAACTCCATTGCGAAACAAGTTCTTGCAACTGATATTAATCACTTTCGAACCGCTTCTTGGAACCATCCAGTACTGGTGTCATTTGAAGAATGTTGAAGAAGTTGGCGGTGACCGATCATGGCTCGAACTCATGATCTCTGGGTTGAGAGACAGACACATTAACCATTATGCCACCGGTACCCTATTGTTTGATTGCCTTACTTTGTCTGATTCCGGTATTTTTTTCTAATTGTTTTGTATGAAAATGAATCTACATATACATTAGAAGTAGTACTTAGTATTTTTTCTCTTTTTATTTCTTAGTCAATTTTATTCAGGTTCTTAGTCAAATATAAAGTGTCGTGCTCCATGATTTGTATCATATTAAAGGAACTCCACTGAGGTCCAAAAGCCTAAAAATATAAAATTTGAATTCCTTACATAGAACAGCTTTGGCATTTTAAACGAAAGAAATGCAAATGTTAATTACGAAATTTACTCAGAATGGTGTTATGTTATTCGTAATCCGATTTGAGTGAAAAGCGTTGCAACGCTTTTCAATTTTTGCTTATATTCACTACAAGAATAGTTATCCTGGAAAAACGAAATGATTTAGCACACAAGTTATTGGTATAGACCTACAACAAAAGGAACATTTATCTCGCAAAGTTATTTCAAGTCCCGAAATGTTAAATATAACCGCAGTGGAGTCCCTTTAATGATAGAACATTTTCTACATAAATATCAAAATGATTGAAAGACGACTTGTTTTAATCTTACTTTCCTTTTAAACATTAATAACATGTGCTTTGATGCCAAAAAGAAATCAAGTATCGGATTATTTGTGGTAATGCCGTTTTGAAAGCGTACTTAATGGTCGTCACTGTAGATTTGTCACGTGGTCGTGACATATAGGGATTACTACACAAATATACAAGAGTGAGGAATAAAATGGAAAATAATACAAGAGAAATATGATACATGTTGCTTTGACTTTCTGGCTACTGACGAGACAATGCACGACATGAAATTAAATCGGTAATTATGCATTTTAATGCGCTAACCAAAACGAAAGATCAATATTTGTCGTTTTGGCACCCAATTTGTCGTTCTGAAAGAACACGACTTTGTGGAGTCATATATATCACAATTTGCACCTAAAGTGGAATATTAAGTTAGTAAATGAACATTAACGACCTTTATTCATTAACATTTATCAATAGTAATAGTAAAAATTATGAAGAACAATATAAAAGCAAGAAATTTGAGAAATTTAATGCCAATGCATGAGTTCACATTACGGCATGCAATAAAGCGGAATAGTTAAAGTATTAAGTTAAACGTTTTGTGTTGTTGACATGAAGCAACAAATTTGCCCTTTCTTGTATCTATCTCATATTATATAAGGTCAGTTTGAACAAGGGCTGTTCGTACATATACATTTTGACTCGTATAATACATAAAGAATTTCATCCGTATTTAACAAAAAAAAGTAAAATATTGCGCATGATATTGTTATTACCAAATGCAGCACTAGTCATTATAAGTGAAGTCCTTGAAATACCACATTTCTCACAATATTTCTTTCAATTTTTGCATAATCCTTTTAAATTATCTGTTGGCAATCTACCATGAAAATGATTCATTTTGTATTTATCTAATGATCTTTACACGCTTTCATGATAGTGCCTCATGTTTGTCTCATCTGTCATATGTTTTCTATTCCAGTAATGGATTAAATATGACACGTTTCATTTTAGGTTTTGCTTTATAAAATTGAGTATGATATCCAATTCAAAACAACGTCCGTTAATGCTTTGGACCATTTGCTTTATTACACCTAAAATGGATTGTATCATAGTTTGGGGACCTTTCTGTTCAAAATTTGTCAGAGTTAAATCGTATACATATACATGCACAGTGCGTTAACTGGAGTGCAGGTATAAGTTACCCGCACTCTAGAGCGTGCCCATTGATTGGCTCATTTTTGCAGGGGTTTACCTGTTGCGACGACAGAGAAAGGGAAAGCAATAGAAATATCATATTCAGATGCTCGTTCATTGGTTACTTTTTCTGAGGTTTCATATTGTGTCAACAGGGAACGTGTTTTTATGTTTGACTATGATACATAAGAGAAGGAGCATCAAAACACTCGGCAATCTGATTAATAATCGGGGACTACGCCCCCTCGTACAAATCAGATAGCCTCGTGTTTCGATGCTCTTTCTAATACTTATGAAATGCCGGTAATCGGTCATGAAATAACGATAACTGGTAAAGAAATACCTGTTGTCGATACTGTAATAATACTAGTAATAGATTATGAAATACCAATTAAAAATAATGAAATACTAGTACCGAAAATTGATAAAAAAAATACCAGTAATCGGAAATGAAATACCAGTTATCGAAAGAATGTAGTACGGCCGATTTCTTGAAATAAACGTTGTAAAGTAATTGGCATACAGTGCGTGCTATCATTAAAAGCGTTATATTGGAGTCCATAATGTATAAATACACCAGTATATTATATTAAAGATGATAAAAACACTGGGGAAAATAAGTCTTGATAAACGATCAATTGTATGTGCAACTTCTTTATCTGGTAGAAACATTTGAAATCTTGAATGTTCTTTTTCTTTTATCTCTCCTTTCTGAAAAAAACAACATAAGAAGTGAAGGCAAATAACTTTGTTTTAAGAGATAAACAAAATTGTTCTTGCAACAATCAAAAAAATTGTCGAGGATTTAAAACTCAAATATCCCATAGTACCCGTTTCTAGCGATTTTGGTCATCGTCGAGTAGCAAGTAATTTTAGACAAATGAGGTTATATAACCACATCATAAACGAAATGTATGTTAATAATAAAATATTGATTGTATTGTCGTAAATATGCACAATGTTCTAGTAGGTAGGGCTGCGATTGGTCTCAGTTACCCTACGTGCAAGCACTTATAATTCTTAAGATATACTGATAATTATATTGTACTTTCTCAAGTACAAGTTAATATTTTTCCAAACGAATTGATAAACTTATCTAAAAAAGAATAACTGTATATCTATTCTTAATAGAAATCTCAATGATTTGCTAAAGTTATTTATACTCGTGCGATACGTATTGTAACGCTATTTACACCTGGTGCATGATATATCATTCTCATTGTTCAACGGTTCTTTGATTAATTAACATTCATAAAAACAATAGATCATAATTACTTCATTATCTGGATTTTGCACGTTGTGTAATTTTTCATTGCCAGCAGGTATATTCGTTTGTTTTCTCCGTTTTTCCACTCGAAAGTACACATTCACAAATGCAAATTCAATCAAGGCGGCAAAAACAAACAGTAAACAGGCAGCCATCCATACGTCTATGCCTGGAAGGAATAATTAATTACTCGATTAGTTTTAAAAGGGATAATCTGCTTGATTAATAAACATAACTTATGAACATGTTCTCTTTAAAAGTTTGCCAAAATAAAAGTGCTTCTGCAAATTCGTTTCATCTTTGATTATTATTTATTATCTGGTCATTAACATGACAAAATACGTATTATTATTTATTTTGTATTACATAATAATGTAAAGGTATCTTATGCAAACAATTTTCATTGCAATTGGAAACTAGGGTTTTCTGCTGTGTTGCAACACTCAAAGTTTTCATTGATAATAAAAAGAATAAGAAGACGACGAAGAAAATAATCATGATAAATATGGCAATAATAATAATAATAATATTTATAATACTGATGATGATAATAAAAATAATAATGATAATAATAATAATAATGATAATAATAATGATGATGATGATGATGATGATGACGATGATGATGATGATGATGATGACGATGAGTCGATGACGATGATGATGATGATGATGATGATAATATAATAATTATAATTATAACAATAATGATAATAATAATAATAATGATTATAGATATATAATTATAATATCAAGAATAATATAAGAAGACGACGAAGAAAATAATCATGATATTAAAAATGTCAAACAACCTTTGACATAAGATACTTTAGGAAGTGACGAACGCGCGCCAGCACTCTGTGTCGTCATGGTGAGGACCGTAAGCAACCCAAGAGAAATCCGTGCAGGAACGGCTTCTTTGTCTAACCAGAACGATACCCATGACAGTATCACTATCAACATGCTGGGTATATAAATCTGTGTTATGTAGTAACCGAACTTTCTGGTTAAATCCAGTTCTAGCATAATACACGTGTATGTCACTGAAAGAAACATTATAATTTATGAGCATTTCATTCATATATAAATGTAACAGTGTTATTTGATAAAAAAAAAATCCCATAATACAACAAATGGGAGGAATGGAAGGTGGTACAGGGCTTTATATATCTTCCATTCTGCCTACCAAACATTATTGGCTCGGATTCGAGTCCAATTAACTCACGACCATGTTTCCTTGTATTGCAGTCCAATCGCGGTTGTTTAAGGACATGAAGTTATTTCGGTAATGCTCTTGCAACATAACGGAATCATGTTATTAATAACATCAAAGTATAGGTAAACTACATCAGATGTAGTTAAAGTGTTCATCGACGCTTTTCGACACAGTATAATATAATGTTTTTCCTCAACAAGTATGACGTCATGCCTTTAAAGACCGAGCTTAGACCGCAAGGGTGTTTAACTCAGATATACTCAGTCAATATGACCCTTAATAACAGAAATATATGTCTATAAAATAAAGCTTGTATGTGCAGATCATATTCATATTATAATACACACCTGTTATATATTCTTTATCACACTGTGACCTTTTCATTTCCCCGAGGTCGAACTGCGCAAGCGCAAGTCTCGTATCTCGCGAGACGGGTTGTGGATTCCATCGAAACTCTAAAGTGTCTGTACTGTATCCATCTAAAATTATATTTACAACTTTCAATGTCCAGTCAACGTCATATGCATATACATACAAGAGAAATACAAGTATTGTAACCATCTTAAAAGTTGTATTCAAGGACATTTTGTTGGGCTCAAAGGCGCATCATCATATTTCAGCTTTACTAGTGGAGGAAAACCTTAAGTGTCCCCCTGTACAATATTTTAGGTACAGTACAAACGGGCAATTGAGTATAGCCATCGACGTTTCGTAAGCTAGTTGGATAGCTTTCTCACACGGAGAATCCAAAGACGCTGACTCGGCTTGAACCTACAGCGGTGAGAGGCAGGTTGTTTGAGGTCAACGGCCTGAACCACTCTTCCACAGATGTCCCCTCCTTCGAAACATAAAATTTATAAAAGAAAATTAATTTTCAAATTATATTACATATGACAAATTTAAATCTTTAGAGGAAGTTTATGAATTAGTTAAACATTCAATTTCCAATTATGTATTTATTTGATTTCAATAACTTTTAATCAATGTTTCTAGGTTTTTCAAAATCTGTATAGAATAATTAGAATTGTTTTATTAAGAAAAGGAATGTCTGCACTTGTTATGCATGTTTAAAAGTGTATAAAGTTATATATTTGGTGCAACAATAAATGTTTTAAAACAAAACAAACAGACATACTTTAAAAATTATTGTATGAAATAAATATGATAGTAAATTGCCTAAAAAGGGAATGACGCATACACCAATTGCTAAACGTATTAAGCCGTACTAATATTTTGTTCCGGAACATTTTATTTTGTTTTTATATATAATATTCATTTATGACACTTTCGAGAATCGACCATGAGGTTATGGAATCAATATAATTTTACTGTTGATAGATATTATAAAAAATATTTCATATTATTATAAGATAAAGCTGTATACCCTTTCCACTATGACCAATTTAATTTTCTATGATAGATTTCTTACATTATAGCTTCTACCATAGAACATCAGTGATAGAAATACATGAATAATCTAACCAGTGTTTTTTTCTACCTTTAAGTTATCTTACTTCATATTTCTTTGACTTCATATATAATTATACATTTATACTCAAATGATAAGAATTTTATTTCAATTTTATCTACGTGGATCTTAAAATCGAACGACAAGATGCAAATGAACCTTTGCTTTGATGATATGAGATTAAATCAGGAAATAAAGATCGTATACTAGTTAAAATTAAATTCTTCAAATTGAATCATATTATCTTGAAAAATAACACTTTTATCTGATGCATGCAAAAGCATTGCAATTTATGAGCACACTAACTCGAACACGAAACATTTCTACTCTAAGTGTGTACATTTGTTAATTAAATTTGTTCATTATAGTATAGACGAAGTCATTCACTGTTAATCCTATCAAACAGGAATATTACTTTGTTAGGGGCATTTCTGTTTTGTTTTCATTTCTGATCAATATTATACAATTTTTTTATTTTTTTGTGCATACACAAAGTCACATGTACCATGTCAAAATTCTTTCCAAATATGACCTTAAAGCTAAAATAAACCAAAATGTTTGAACCTTTTTTGTGCAACTATTTCGCTATTCATAGTTTTACATTTTTTAAAACCCCATTAATTCTTAGAAAATGAATATAATTTTTCCTTCTGTAGTAAGGGCAATTATGTGTTTTATTATGTACATGTAATGATGGCATATCAAAAGCATATAAACGAGACAAAATAGCACTCAATTTGAAATTATGTTTCATATAGATACAAAATGTAATCAAAATGGTATTTTGAATACCATGAATTTTCCAAAACGCATAAAAAGCAACAAACAATCCAGTGGGTAACTCTTAGTAAAAATGTAACCAGTAACAGCAACAAGAAAACCAAGCCTTTAGAAAATAAAGAATTAAAAGAATTGTTTGCAGAGTTACTGGGTATATAACTATCAAGTTCGTAATAAAGCTACGCATCACATCACATCACATCACATTACATTACATTACATTACATTACGTTACATGACTAAGTGGTGTTTTACAGCTTACAGCTTTCCATGATCACTGCGCAGACTTGTGAGTCTAGAGGATACTTCCTTAGGTCCATGTTACAATGTAAAGTTGCAGATATTCTGAAAGTGTAAACCATTTAAGGCTGCATAATATTAATAAGTAAGTCAAATATTTGGGTTTACTAAGAACTTAATGCTATTCAAATAATGTCAATAATATTCATATTCACATAATCATTTTTTTATTTACTGTAAATTGTATGTTATACCTACAATACTTTGCATAATGAGGATTTTCAACTACGAGAATGGACGGAGAGGAAGCGCCGAATGTTACAATAATATTGTAACAAAACATAAATGAATGAAATCATTTGAATGCTCAATTGACCTAATCTTGTTCATGGACATGCAACTGTCCCTGGCCTTATTACGCAGAATATAAAATTGATGGAAAATAAAATGTCATTATTACGAATTTGGGAACATCTTCAAATTTGTTCTTACAGTTGTGATCACGTAACCTTCAATGCGACACTATCATGCAATTCCACGAAATCAAAAAAGATGCGCCTAGACTTAGAAAGAAAGCAATGGACAGAGCTAAGTACATTGTAAAATAAAACGTTGAAAAAGAATCGGAAGTTATGCATGCATACCACTGAAATTACCGTATATGCTAACAAAAAGTTTGACTCTGATTAAAAAAAATGTATATTTACATATTCAATGAAGTTTGGCTAAGAAATACGAATATTAAAGATAAAAGTTTGCTTTTGAACGATTGGGAATATTTAAAACACAAACGTTAATATTGTATTTGTTTGGTCTGGTTTTAAAAAAATAATATCAATTAAAAAAAAACAACCTGATACTATATTGGACTCGTCCCTCTGGATAGATGTGCATCAGTTTATTTGGAACAGTTACTATATGGAACTGAGCTTTCTTCTCATTGGTTATAAATAAGTCTGGTACCCATATACTTTGTATCAGCCGGGAATCAAGCTCTAAAGATCTCAATCTCGGAATTTTCTTGTAGGCCAGTCTGGAATCGTTCCACGTTTGTCGAAGAAACATTCCAATTGAATAGTCCTTGGAAATATCAAAAGCAAAGCAGATCTATCATGTAATATGAATTTCTAGTGTTAAATTAGCAAAATATATACAAACGTTTAAGTGGCTGATATACCAAACATTTAAGTAAATATACCACTAAATCGTGCAATACTAGTATTGGAATGAAGCATATAGCCGCCGATATATTAATGATTTACTTAATATGAACAATGATGCTCATATAACAATGAATTGTCAAAAGTGCTTAGGAAAGAATAAATATAAAGATTTTTTAAAATACATTTTAAGTAACACTTTTCACGTGAAAGTGAATATAAGTTAACGTTTGTAACTTGTGTTAGAAATATAATAGACATCTAAATCAGTTTGTGCATCAATATGTAATATAGTTTTCTTCCTATCCTTGCAAGTTCAGTAACATATTTTTTACAATGAATTATTTATTGATGCTAACACATGAACAATCAAACCTCTTCAACATTGTTGGTATTTTTTTACAATATCTTCTAAAAACAAGAACCGGTTGAACCGGGTGTTGCTCTCCAACTACATGTAGGATTTGGACACAGAAAAGATTATCTTATGTAGTTTCAGGGTTATGTCACAGACAAAGTTCAAAGTGTGATAATTCCAAAGTAGTTGTTAAATGCGACTTCAAATAATGACATTATTGGCCGGACACCATTTTGCTTCAAGGTCATGGTGTGACCTTGACCTTCAAGGTAGCGATCCAAATTTGCACGGGACACATTGTGTCAATATGGTGATCATTTCTGTGAAATAGTTGTAAAATACAACTTCTAATAACGAAGTTATTGGCCGGACACGAATTTCCTTAAGGTCATGCTGTGACCTTTACCTTCAAGATGGTGATCATTTCTGTGAAAAAGTTGTAAATTCCAACTTTAAATATCCTTGTTATTGGCCGGACACGATTTTGTTCAAGGTCATGGTGTGACCTTGACCTTCAAGGAAGCGACCCAAAAGTTGCGCGCGACACGTCGCCTCCATATGGTGATCATTTATGTGAAATAGTTTTAAAATCCGACTTTAAATAACAAAGTTATGGGCCGGATAAGAATTCGGGACGTTCGTACGAACGGATGGACTGACGGACTGACGGACGGACAACCCGACGACTTTAAGCTCCCCAAAATTTTTTTGGGGAGCTTAAAAAACGTCACAGTTGTACATAAATGTTATGATTTATGTTGGTTTTTTTCAATTTCGGTAACTTTGAATTCTACATAGAATTTAGTGATGCGTTTCAAAGTAAACGATCCTTATATTTTTATTATCCGATCGTAAATACGTTTTCCTTTGAATCATAAGACAAACTTTACATCAAAAACAATTTGATTTAGATAGAGAACATCTTACATATACTTAAAAAAAGTTGTTTACTCTTGGAGCGTCAGAGAGAAGAAAGTGTAAGTTGTCATTAATAAATGATACTGCAGACATACTTGACAATTGATATAATTCGAGTACCTCTTCTTGGTAAAGTTTTACAAGAAGTATATGACTGTGAATTTCCGTTTCTCGGCACTGTATGACATTACTTTGTATATTCTGTAATAATGTCAATCCAATTCTTTCTTTTTATTTTATCTTATCATATCCTTTTTGTTGAGTGACATGATATCCATCAAAGGGCAAATAATTGGTGAATAGATAGAATAAAAAATAACTCGAAATTTTGCCATTACTGTGTTCAGTAATCTATTATATTATGAAACGATAATCAGTAATCCACGTGGCCGACGGAAATATATCTAAAAACCAGTAATCAAATTCAAATGTTATTAGTAATGCACAATTCTTAAAAAGAGTGGGCCAGTGTTTTTATAATTTAAGCCTTTTTTACATCATTAACACTTTTCGTTAAAGAGCATAATAATAGCCAAATTCTTGAATCACATTTCTTATTAAGCCGAACTTTAGTGGCGGGGGAAAATAAGCATTATTTTATTTAAACTTACCATGTTTGATTCACTGATACTATCAATACTTGTAATATGAAGCTGTACCAGAACTGTCACTGGAAAATCTAAAACACAAGAAAAATAATTGCAAAACAATAATAAATAGATACGTTTCTGCATTATAACGAATCCGCTCACAACATAAAACAATCCAGAAACTCAACCAAAATACCGCCAAAGTACTAAATGTATATTAACAGGCAAGAAGGACAATATAAATATCTCAGATCTTACATTGCGTGTTATATAATAATACAATGTCAGTAGCAAAAAAATCCTGTAATTTGCTACAAACATATTCAGTATAATCGATAATATATAATTATTTTGTCCGAAACCATGGTACAGGGTCTTTGAGATGTCGGAATAAACAGATTCATATCTTAAAATAATTATATAGTCGAAGCTATAGTCTCACATTTCATTGATTGTTGTGCTATTTACTTGACTACAAAGACTAATCCTTTTATCTGACATTATATCTACATGTCATTGTGCCATTGAAGACAAGCTAATTTCTAGTCATATAATACTAAATTGATGCACTTAGTTGGTTACCTTCCTCGTAGTTTGGTGGAATTCGGGGATCATAGTTGTTAAGAAGATTATCCAATGTTCGTTGTCTGAAATGGAATATGTTTTCACATAACGTCACATAATATAAAGTCCAGTTTTCTCTTTATTTCCTTGGACCCTAGCGGCTATGTAAAGTATTTATGCTGTACATGATAAGGTCATGATAAGGTAAAGAGTAAGGTCAATCCGCAAATCATTGTAAATTAACAATAACCTCTATATTCTCCTATACGTTTAACGACATTTGAAGCCGGTTTCGAATCAAACAAGCATCACATCAATGCTAGGACATGGCATAATTTAAGAGGCCCTAGTGAATTTATTGTCTTTTATGCATGTAATGAAATTGAGACATAATATAATTATATCAATAATAAACAATGGTTAAAATCCTAATGTCAATTAGTTTATGACACAGTCTCACAAAAAAATATTATACATATACTTAAGCTGAATTTGAAGAATTTACAATATAATACATACACTTTAGCGGAACTCACAAGAAGAACAATTAGAAAAAAATAGCCTATTCCCTCGCCTTTCACTGTTACAAAATTGCATGACAATATTTATCTCGCGATACTATTATCTCCCATGTCACATTGGCCAATTTTCTTAATTATGATTTATATCACATACATCAAATGTCAAGATTTCTGATACTGATACTACGTATGACTTTAATCAATTTATGCATGAGCTTTGCATTTCCTTTCATCGAAACTCATCGCTTATAATGTCATCAGCAGTGCACTTTGAAAATATACATAATTCATAAGCTGAAATGCATTTTTCAGTGCATTCTGCTATTGTGCATGCACTAATTTTGTTCTTTATTTTAGTCTATTTGTAAACGCTTATCAATGTAACATACTTGTTTATTCCCAGCAGAATCTTGTACAAAACGTTATGCAAAGCAAATAATCAAGCCCCTTATCTTTAAATCAAACACTCAAAGCAGATAACAAAGGCAGAAGGCAACCGTATGTCTGTTAAGTATGTACAATTCTTGTTTTTGCACCGTACTGCACTTCATTAAAAGCAATTTTTGAATGACAACGCCAGAAAACTGCCAATCAAATGATAAACATAAAAAATTATCATAATTTGATGCTCTCCGGTGCTGAGCTGTGTATAATTATTCAACGTTATTCACGTCAGGAGTAATAATTAAAATACACCTTAAGTAGTTATGCAGATTGTCAAATATAATTTTATGTACGAATTCAATAAGCAAAGTAAATGAAAACGCAATCAATTTTCCTTCTCAATCGTAAGCAGACACAATACTGAAACAACATATAATCAGTCTGGATTATATGTGTCTTAGAAAAGACTTTGCCTTAAACGCTTATATACTAGTATTTTAATAATCATTAATTTCAAATGATAGAAAAATACGTTGTTATTACATTGTTCGTAAGTCTCTTAACATTTGGTAAATACTGACTATGCATTGTATTTAAGTCTAACATCATTTGCCGACCAATGAAATCGCTCCAATTAAAACAAAAAAGATGCTGTTCTTAATCAAGCAAGTTTTGTCACTTATTGTTTAAGAAACTGCATAATTTTGTTACCGTAATTTGATTATGAAGAAAATACTCTTATATTTAATGGTGTCAGTACAAATAAAATCTTCTGTATATAGATTGCATTTACATTGTTACTTTGTCTTGGTTACAACGTACGATTTTAATTAATTTTTCAAAATATGAGACTAACATTTGCACTGTCAAATAGTAAGCACTGTTATTGAATAGTCACAACTAATTTATAAACTTACCTTTCCGATTTATTTTCAACATTGTCCACATCTTCGAATTGTTCGGAAAACAAAGCATTGCGTCGAAACTCGGCATGTGACCGTGCAAAGTACTTTGTGTTTATTGTTGCTAGATAAATTGCTGCAATAACAATTTTCATCTTGAATGATTTGGACCTGAAATTTTAAGTTTTTGTTATCATTCTTGGTTATGAATTGTATAATTATAGTAAAGTTAATGACACTGATCTTGTATGATAAACAAAGAATGATGACGATGAAGATGATGATGATGTCTATGATGATGATGATGATGTCAAAAGTTATAACAAAGCAAATGACACTGATCTTGTATGAAAAATAAAAGATGATGATGAAGATGATGATGTCGATGATTATGATTATGATGTTGATGATGCCGATGATAAAGATAATTTTTGAAATTAATAAGAAACGTGTGTAAGTCGATTATAATAACGTATACACATTATAATCATCAACAACAACAACAACATCATCATTAATTAAATAAAAACACGAAAGTTTGTAAGTGTTTTAAAATATTAAAAGAGCTAAAAAATGCCTACGTATTTAATTGCAAAAAGTATTATACTCTTTTACATCAAAGACATTATTTCCTATGTACCACAACAAAGTAAATACAAAATACTACCTGACAAAAAGCAATAGAATTTTCCTCTTTTTTTCAATGAAATACTTCCTAGAAAACTATGTTCAAAGAAAGACGTTCCTCGAGGAACTACAAAAGCGACCTCTATGTGATAACATCTGGATATCATCTTATATCATTTGAAATACATCAGGGATTACTGCTTTATAGCATGCTATGAATGATTTAACAATTAATTACACCATTTAAACGTTCTCTACAGACGTGATGCCTGTTCTTACGTGAATCAGCGAGTATGTTACAAGTTAAATTGTGTATTAGGAATGACAGACAACAAGCGATTCTCTGAGAAAGTCTCCTAAAAGGCAAGTTATTGCTGATACAAATGGAAATAGTGGTTGAAAAAACTTAAATTGATATTTATAGTTGCTTGGAAAAGTGGTTGAACATAAATTTATATCTATAGTAAATCTGTAATCAAAAGAGAAGTCTTATCTTAGATATATTTCATATAAATTGATGAATAAGCACTGTTTGTCTATCTGTATTTCTGTCTGTTTGTTCGTTCATTCATTCATTTATTCATTAATTCATTCGTTTATTCATTCATTCATTTATTTATTTATTTATTTATTCATTCATTCATTCATTCATTCATTCATTCATTCATTCATTCATTCATTCATTCATTCATTCATTCATTCATTCATTCTTTCATTCATTGTTCATTTGTTACTTTATTGAGAGATCTATATATGTAGATAAAGGTGTATTGCAAAAAATGATTTGAAATTAATGTATAAATAGATTAGCTAGAGTGGTGAACGTTGTATATTTTCATCTCAACGGTACATGTCAATCGGGTTAGACGTTACTTTTTTCATATTATAAATGGCTTTTCTCTTAGAGGAGAAGCAAAAAAAAAACGAAAAAGGTAAATATGTAAACATGGAGTTTGAAACGAATTACAGCATATTGAAGTTATACATAGTATAAGTTCAATCAATATGTTTAGCTGTAAAGTTTACCTTATTTTCTAAAATACTTCAAATGCATTACATCAGAAGCAACGTACCATTATGTACATGTAGTAACATGATTGTACGAATCGGTTTCTCAAAGGCAATTGCTATTTATATATCCTAATTCAGTCAAGGCATTCGATACAACAGTCAAAACAATTGTGTTTAAATAAAATGTAACATCAAAATAAGAACTACATGCAGTAAGCCAAACTTAATGGACAAAACACAACAATGTTAAACAAACGTTTTGTTATGATGGTACAATTCAGTTCCTTAGCTTTTCTTTCTGCTACTTTTTTTCTGTTTAGATTTACTGCCAAAGTACACACGTGAATTTAAAACGTACATAGAAAAGTTAACTTAAAATGCTTGTTACTAAATTTCTTTGAATCCCGTGGTATTATTTTCTAAAGTGTATTTACGATCTTATCGTAAAAGTAAATGATTGATTACTCAAAGAGTACAAAATGCTTACCCCAGCGGCATATGTATAATCTCACATTATATGTCCTTTTTTTCACCATTTCTTACACACGTTTCTCATTCTTTTAAAATTAAATCGTGTAATTCCCAAAGTCACTATAAAGGTTTATTGATTTATAACTGTAGCACTTCGATTGCGTTACTCTGTCGAGACACAAACACACATTTTCTTGGAGAATACTCGTATTGGAAATCATTTACTAACGTTTCTTCGTAAGACTTCCAGTTCGTATATCTGAAATAAGATCAGCTTTGCATGATTTTAATATTAATCCTAATGTACATATTGTGTAATTTGATTGAAATACACATATGCCAACTTAAAAGGACATTGAAAATTAATTGTGTCTTTTGTTGACTTGTACAATCGCGTTGTACTTAATATTGATGTTATTATCTTTACAATTTTCATTATTCTTCTCTTCATTGCTACTATAATTATTATAATCATTAGTGTTGTTGTGATTAACTGATATTATTGTTATCTTTTTACTATATGCACTTATAGAAAAGAAACAGAAACAAATTGAATATTTTTTAACAGTTGCACTGTTATGTATTCTTCATAGTCAAAAAACATAGAGATTACCAAAATACAACATTAAACAAATTAGTAAAAACAACAACAACAAAAAAAACAGTACAACTGAAAAAGCAAAAAAGCCAATGTGATACTGGCTAAATAAATTGTTATTTCTCATAATATTAAATGGCAAATTAAACCTCAAAATGCTTTAATATTCATTCTTCGGCACACTCTTAATTTTCGTGTCCTGTTAGAGTTTCGTTACCAACATTTTACTCATTGGCTTTATCCCTGATCCACCTTTTGATTATTTTATGTCTTGTCAAATAGTACACGTAAAGCAATTTTAATAATGGATCCGAAGTAATTTCTTGAAAGTAAAAAAAAACAATACATTGTTTACATTTTGGTACCTTTATTATATCACAATTTTTTCACATTCGATCCAGTCTTCTTCAGCAGAAAAGCGTCTTACTATTAAACATCCATTATAGCATAAACTTTAAGACACATTTGCCCTTTCCCTAGAAGGAAATAATTATCAATTTCTGTGTTTTAATAAGTTCTCATAATTTAAGTAGATTTTGTCAAAACACAACAACATCAAAACCATATATTCATAATATCTCTACATTTAAAACCATGAAACTTATAGAATAAATGGTTTGTATCTTAAGCTATCTCTTGAAACCTCCTTGCCCCTATCTCATAAATAACATAAGCAAGACAACTTAAAAGTGGTTAAAGTAGAAGGTATGTAGTCTTAATTTTGTTTTAAACTGCAAGATAAAATAAAGATTAAATAACAAAGCATTATTTCTTGACATAATATTATGATATGCTCCAGATTTACAAAAAGAAATCGAAATAAATAGATAAAATACAAGGATTTTAAAGTATATATTACAAGTAAACGTTACGAAGTTTGATAACAATATATTGCTAGTATCTACATTAAAAATGATAGCAATGTATTGGTAATGATTGCATAAAATTTTAATAACAACATATTGGTAATGATTACATTGATTTAGAAGGACATTATGCCAATCCTAGCGCAAATGTTAGATAAGATGTACAGTGTCAAAGTCAAATTAACTTGCATTCAATTTTATGAAAAAGATGGTTCATGTGAAAAATCAATGTCTATATCGGTGTATCGTTCAATAGATAAAAAGAGTTGAGAAGTCTTTTTTTATATTTTAGGCATTTGTTACATTTTATTCTTATCATTTTTATTATCAATTACTGGTCAATAACTATTACATTATCATTATCATGATGTACAAAGTATATCTTTATACTGATTCACTAGCAGTAAGTTGAAAATAATTGACACATGCGTTCTTCTATTCATTCGTAGTCCTTGTTCTACTACTATCGTCTTTACATTAACAATGCACCAAGAAATATTGTAAGAAAAGAAGAAAACAAAAATAACATTTTAAAAGAAAAAAAAATGATATTCGATTTCGGGTTTTGTTTAAACATTTATACTTCTAACGAACCACTTTGCCTTGTTTATCAAGATCATACCTGTTAACAGTTGATTGTTATGAATGTTTTCTAACATTTGCAGATTATATTCCTCATTACCTAAAGAGCTTTTCTATGGGACTGAAACACGAATAACATGAAATTTATACTTGTTTCCTATAAAGAGTATGCTCCCTTATTCTATCGTTTTTCCCCCGTGATTCTATATAATATAATCGCATGCTTTCCCAAACGACTGACTAATTTGTCATCGTTTTCGATTCAATAACTTTGCATCATTTAACAACAATGTACTTTTCTTATTTTCCTTCGATTGTAAACAAAATACATGAATTACATTTTAATAGGAGTTAACTTTAGTGAAAAAAACCAATGAAGAATAATAATAAAGATAATATTCATAGAAAAATAATAATAAAATTTTGAACATTTTTGAAATTACCGTTTCCTTTAACAAAAGAGAATTATCATAAATTAATTGATCTTTCTAAAGGATAATTTTGATTATAGAGGACGAAGAGTAATATTAATACAGTACATTGTATATAGCAGTCATGGTTCCTTCTTTGATATTCTTAAGTTTGCAAAATAGTAGGACAAATTCGTGCAAAGATAAATCGTTAATTTCATCTACATAAAGGGAAAGATTTTCTATTCTGAGGAAAAATTTTGGGGACAATTTTTTTGCAATATTGGGGTATCCCCGAAAACACCCCAATTTTAAAATGATATTTTTAAATCCCTTTACCAAACAATTGTTT